AAAAAAAAGCCCCATGGAGGGAATTTTTACTGTAATGTTTGTGATGAGGCCTATTAATTAAAAACTTCTTAGTTTGAATAACAAACATTCTGTCTCCCACTACGAATATTACTCGTACTTCTAGTACTACAACTGATACTTCTACTACCATACTACTAGTATTTCTACTGCTATTAATACTACAACTACTACTAATGTTATTACAAATACGACTATGGCTAATAGTATTACAGCTGTTTCTACTGCTATTGATACTAAACCTACTATTACTGCTAGTACTACTAATACCACAATTATAACTAATACTACTACTAATATTACTACAAACAATTTTAAACAAATTTAAGCTCCTGCAACTTCTGTTTTTAGAAAATCTATTGAAATTCAGCTTCGCCACTTCCTGTATTTTCAGCAGTTCTTTAAAATAATTTCAGCTATTCTTATGCCTCTATCAACAGCAATTTTTCACTATTCATTTCTGTATTTTTTTGCAATATTTCAAATTTATTTCAGCTGTTTTCATTTCTGCTTTTTCAGCAAATCTATTGAAATTCCTTTCAGCTTCTCCCATTTCTGTATTTTCAGCAATTTCAAATTCATTTCAGCTTTTCTAATATCTATAATTTCAGCAAATGTATTCAAATTCCCTTCAACTTTCTGTATTTTCAGCTATTTTAAAAAGTTCATTTCAGCTTTCAGCTTTTTGCATTCCAACGCATTTTCAGCAGGAAATGCATTTTTGTTGGAATGCATTGAGATGCATTCCAAGTATTGTTCTTCGAATCTTTGTTGGAATGCATTGAGATGCATTCCAAGTATTGTTCTTCGAATCTTTATTTCCGACTTATTATTATGTTTCTTCTATTTCTTCCGCGCCGCCTTTCAACTCCTTCACATTTTCAGCTATTAAAATCCTTCAAATATTAAAATGTTCAGCTCCTTTCTGGCTTGAGGGCTATGACTTTTCAGCTTTCTACCTCTTATGCTTGAATTTATATAAATCAATAATCGTTAATATTTTAACATGGTTTTCAAATGGAGTTTGCTTTTCAAATCCTCTTCAACTTCTTCAACTTTCAGATTTTTCAGCTTCGCCAATCTTTCAGCTACAGACACCATTTCAACTCTCAAATGTTCACACAAGTCTCAACTATTTTATGAAAAAAACTGCTTCTTGATATCTATTGTACTTTTTTCATAATCACTGATTATGTTTCACTAGTTCTTCGCTCCGTTTCTGACTTTTACATGAGTGTGTATTGCGTCTGCTAGAGTGGAGAGCTCGAGGCTAGAGTGTGGGGCATCGCAGGAATCTGGTTAAAAAAATATGGAACTTCTGTCCTTGCAGCCAAAGTATACACTCTAGAGGCTTCATTTCTTCAGATTAATGAGGGTATGGTTGTGCTGATTGGATTAATGTGTTCATGGAATCCCAGAGTTTTTTAGTTTTGGCGCAAGGAGTGTTTGAGTGACACAACCTCTGCCAAAAGCCCCATAGGCTCCAATACAAATCTGCCGACATATTTCTCACAAAAATCCACAAGGTACACGTTTTGTAAACGGCCATAGGAGCCGTATTTATTACCGGACAGACATAAAACGCACATCCACGCGTTCGGTAGAGTCTTGGGTCTCATACAAACGCCGTATTTTTTAGATAGCTGTTATAGTTTTGCGCTGGTTCTCATTTGTTTGAGGTGTGGATTCTGTGTAACTTGCTGTCCTGTGTCTGCCCCTTTGCAGCCGCACAGGTGCGGCGTTGTCGTGGTTACGAGCACTCACATGCTGCAGGATCTGTCTGTGGCTCACAGCTGCTTATATGACCTGATTAGTGGAGTCACATGACGCAGCTATGCTTTCTGTCAACAGACCAATATGATAAAGACACTCGCCCCCCTTCCCCCCTCCACCCTGACCTCTACTTACTGTTAATCACTCAGTCAGTCAGTATGTCTGTCCATTTCTCCTCCTCTCTCTCTCCCTCTATCTCTTCCTCACCACCCCTCCCTTTCTCACCCTCTCACCCTCCCTCCCTCTATCTACACCCCCCCACCCCATTTAATCCAATAGGTGCGCCGTTGTCGTGGTTACTCGCTCACACGCTGCAGGATCTGTCTGTGGCTCAAAGCTGCTCCTATGACCTGATTAGTGGAGTCACATGACGCAGCTATGCTTTCTGTCAACAGACCAATATGATAAAGACACTCGCCCCCCTCCCCCCTCCACCCTGACCTCTTCTCACTGTTAATCACTCAGTCAGTCAGTATGTCTGTCTATTTCTCCTCTCTCTCTCTCCCTCTATCTCTTCCTCACCACCCCTCCGTTCCTCACCCTCTCACCCTCCCTGGCTTTTATCTACAGCGCCCACGCCACCCAATGCGAATAATTTCAAAATAAAAGCCCCATGGAGGGAATTTTTACTGTAATGTCTGTGATGAGGCCTAGTAATTCAAAACTTTTAAGTGTGAATAGCAAACATTCTGTCTCCCACTACGAATATTACTCGTACTTCTAGTACTACAACTGATACTTCTACTACCATACTACTAGTATTTCTACTGCTATTAATACTACAACTACTACTAATGTTATTACAAATACTACTATGGCTAATAGTATTCCAGCTGTTTCTACTGCTATTGATACTAAACCTACTATTACTGCTTATACTGCTAGTACTACTAATACCACAATTATAACTAATACTACTACTAATATTACTACAAACAATTTTAAACAAATTTAAGCTCCTGCAACTTCTGTTTTTAGAAAATCTATTGGAATTCAGCTTCCCCACTTCCTGTATTTTCAGCAGTTCTTTAAAATAATTTCAGCTATTCTTATGCCTCTATCAACAGCAATTTTTTAATATTCATTTCTGTATTTTTTTGCAATATTTCAAATTTATTTCAGCTGTTTTCATTTCTGCTTTTTCAGCAAATCTATTGAAATTCCTTTCAGCTTCTCCCATTTCTGTATTTTCAGCAATTTCAAATTCATTTCAGCTTTTCAGCAAATGTATTCAAATTCCCTTCAACTTTCTGTATTTTCAGCTATTTTCAAATATTCAGTGCAGCTTTCAGCTTTTTGCATTCCAACGCATTTTCAGCAGGAAATGCCTTTTCTAGTTTATTTATCATAGACTTTATTGCCCCGTGCATCGCCACTGCTGCTTTTCATTGCGGACACATTTGTCCCGTATTTTGCTCCACAACTTTGTTCCCCTCTCGACCGGCAAACCGGCGTTTGTGGAGATCTCCCTCCATGAATCAGAGGCCACCCGCGCGTCCTTCTAGTCCGCCAATGACGGCTTGTATAAACGCTCATATTTACGCATTTCTTCAGACAAAAGTTCTTTAATCTGATCCGTTCTCTCGTAAACATTCTTCGTTTTAATAATGCCGGTATTGTGCTATGAAAACGGAAATGTGAGACTCCGTAAAGGACGTAGTTAGCGGACCAATCGCAGCGTAGTGGGTCGACGCACGCAAGGAGGTGTGAAAAGGGACAAGGGTCGCTCTGAAAACGCAGAAGCATAAACTAGGCTTTTCTTTTATGTCTGATGTACTATAGATGTCTAGCTACAGCTAGCACTTAGCTTAGCTTAGCTTAGCCATCCAACAATACACCTACCAGCACTTGACAAATGTACAAATGAACATGCAATATCTTTAAAGTAAGCTGTAGGCAGTCTGGATATTTTGATATTAGAAGGTAAAACAGAAAATATCAACAATGCATTTTGTCTCTTTTTTTCCCTCGTTGACGCTGGTTCTTGGGATGCGTTGAATGAAAACTCCCCGGGGGGAGCTGTTTTGCTTGAAATGTATTTTATATATTCTTCAAATAGAGGGGTTGAAGCTCGGTTCTTTATTGCATTCACCATTACCACTTCTGTCCGAGGGTTTTGCAACATTCCTTTCGTCCTCTTTTACGCGCACTGATGTAACGCTCACCTTCTAAAGGTTGCTCGTGGCACACACACACACACATACAGATCTCAAGACGGTCCCGTCGTGACGGATGATGTACCCGGAGAGCGTTTCCTGTTTGGCCTTGCGTTCAGTGCCCTTCCTGTGTCCGGGGTCCTCGTCCTTCGACGGCTGGTTGGGTTGTTTTGAGGTCGTTGTGCTGCAGGAGGATGACAGCGAGGCCGCAAACGGTCCGGCACTCGTCCGCGATCGCTGCTGTGATTGCTTCCCCGTCCAACGTGTGAATTTTCTGGTTCGAGGACGTAAGGACACGTTCTATTAAGAAGGTGCCAAAAGTTGTAGGCCGTCTCAACCGCTTGTGTCGATCTCCATCTGACATTTAAAATCTGCTGTTCTTTTTTATTAACTAATCAAGTTTTTTTTATTTCACTCCCTCTTGCGGACAGAATGAAGATGCCTGAGGCTGGGAGTTAGAGCCCCCCCCCCCGACGAGAGAGCTTTGTCCAGTGCTGGGGCTGGACCCAGAGAACCCTGCCTGGGGGGGAGGGGGGGCGGGGAGCAGGACCCTCACAAGCCCGGAGTCTGGAATATGGGGGATGGGGGAGCTGGTGCAATGGGAGGAAACGGGGCCAACAAGGCCCACGCGCTGTTCGACAACTTCGTCCAGGGGACCACGTGCAAGGGCACGCTCAAGGCCTTCCAGGAGCTGTGCGACCACCTGGAGGTCAAGCCCTGCGAGTACAGGGTCTTCTACCACAAGCTCAAGTCCAAGCTCAACTACTGGAAGGCCAAGGCGCTCTGGGCGAAGTTAGACAAGCGGGCGAGCCAGAAGGAGTACAAGAAGGGCCGCGTCTGTGCCAACTCGAAGGTGAGCGTTGACCGTTTCCCTTCAAGGGCCGTCTTCAGTTCAGCGGGAGCTCAAATTTGATCCTCGACGTTGAGGGAATTCTGCCATTCGATGCCGATAATTACCACTTAGCACGATCAAGCGCGTGTGTGTGTGCGCGGGAGGCTTTTTGTGAAGTGACGCTCCAAAATGAGGCTGATAAACTGGTTGTGTTAATTTGACTGCTGATTTATTTATTTAAAGACTATTTACAGATAATACAGATAAGTTTACTTACTTCAACCAAATACTAGACTTAGAACTAGCTTAGCATGGACTGAGCTTCAAAAGGCTCATTTATAGTACCTTAATTTATGTCAGGTTATCTAATGTTGTAGGTAGGGCTAAACTACACTAACACAGCTACAAATCAATAGCTTTGTTAGCTTATTTTAGCTTCTCTCAGACTTTTGCTGTCATCACATATTCCATCCTATCGTTTGGCGGCTTGCCGCTGTGTAAGGATGTGTGGCAGAGAGCGAGAGTTCGAAGTGAGGATGCACTTCACAACTAAAAGCTGGTTATTGGGCTGTCAGGGTGCGCTGTGAGGCGTCCTGACTCGTTTTTTTTCACGTGCACGGTTCAAACCTGTCTCATTACTGCCTCTGCTGCATGCTGCTCTCTCCGTATCAAGTGTCTGATCATTGGCGCGGGACCCTGCGGCTTACGTACGGCCATCGAGCTCGGTTTCCTCGGGGCAAAAGTGGTGCTCCTGGAGAAGAGGGACGCCTTCTCTAGGAACAACGTGCTGCACCTGTGGCCCTTCACCATCCAGGACCTCAGGGGCCTCGGGGCTAAGAAATTCTACGGGAAGTTCTGCGCTGGTGCTATCGATCATATCAGTGAGTGCACCCGACACCCTCGTTTATGAGATTTCAAGATTCAATGTTTTGGGGAGAGAAGGTGCGTTTGTGTCCTCTGTAGTTCATTCAAGTGTCCTCCCCTTCTCCTTTTCTCGTGTCGCAGGTATTCGTCAGCTACAGTTGATTCTGCTCAAAGTGGCTCTCCTGGTGGGCATCGAGATCCACGTCAACGTGGAGTTCAAGGGTCTCATCGAGCCCCCAGAAGACCAAGAGCCTGAAAGTGAGTGCGCCCAAAAGCGATGGCGTGCCGGCCGCCGCCGTGCGTTTCCTCCACGTCACACGTGCCGTGTGTTTTCCTCAGGGATCGGCTGGAGGGCCGAGGTGCACCCCAGGACCCACCCGGTCAACGAGCTGGAGTTCAACGTCATCATTGGAGCCGACGGGAGGAGAAACACGCTGCCAGGCAAGTCCTCGCAATGCTGTTCGTTTTCCTTGAACAAGAGAAAAGGCCAATACGGGCTGTTCTTTGCATATAAACCAACTCATAGGACGATGATCTCATCTGTGCACCGCTGTAGCTGACCTCACTGCGTTCCTCGCGCATGAATGAACATGTGTGCACGTCTGTTTACATCTGCGTGTTTGTTTTCCGTCTTGGCCGCTGCGTCCAAAGTAGAGCAGGAATTGTTGAATAGGCCGACTTGTTTCTCCTCTGTGAGCGCTTGTGCTGCATCAGCAGGCTCCCTCTGGGAGAACCATGAACTGCAATCACACAGAACCCCCCCCCCCCATCCTCCTAGAAGAACGCTGTCAGGATACAGACCATCTGGTTGTGTTTATAGTGTACAATTGCTGGGTTTGATGCATCTTAGAAGCAAGGAGCACTCAAGCGCTCTGCTTTCGTGTCCCGTGCCCACTGATTCCTCACATTCCTGACAGCTACTTCCTTTTTCTCTTGTAATTCCCGCCCCCCCCCGCAGGTTTTCGGCGCAAGGAGTTCAGGGGGAAGCTTGCCATCGCCATCACCGCCAACTTCATCAACAGGAACACGTCGGCGGAGGCGAAGGTTGAGGAGATTAGCGGGGTGGCCTTCATCTTCAACCAGAAGTTCTTTCAAGACCTCAGAGAAGCAACAGGTCCGTCTCTGCTCCGATCTACTGCAGCGTTATGTTTTTAAACCTTAAATTACAGATACAAAACGTTCCTGGAATCAGCATTTTGGAGAGTGGGGGTGGAAATTAACAGGATAAATGATCTTTCCTTGAAACACCGCTCTGAATTTGTCCAATTAAAATGCTTAACATTAGATCCGATGCCAAGCCTGCCAGTTTATTGCTGACGCGACAGTGTGGCCGTGGCGATGTGCTGCTGGTCGGGTAATCGCTGCTCTAATGACGACGTGACAGCCGGCGATGGCAAAAAGGAGAACAATGGTTCGGTACGTAACCGTGCTTCTGTGGTCTTTTTTAGGTATTGACCTGGAAAACATTGTGTACTACAAGGACGACACGCACTACTTTGTGATGACTGCCAAAAAACAGAGCCTGTTGGAGAAGGGAGTCATTCTGCACGTAAGTGATCAAAGCCCAGATCTCCGTTCAATGTATTCTGTCTGTGTGTCGCTGACAAAATCTGACAAAAAAGTCTGTCCCTCTCTCGCCTCAGTGTCCCACTCGCTTTCATTCTCTCAGCCTTTTATTCCCTTTTGTGTTTTTTTTTTTTTTGCCCAGTATCGGCCTAATGGTCTAACCAGGCCAGCAGTGTTCTGGAACAAACGGACATCTCAAGCACACTTACTGCGTGTTTGGGTCCTCGCTGTACGCGGTAGTTTCCTTTCCTCGGCCGCTTTCCACAGGAAAGACTTTTTTTTTTTTTTATGTCTTCATGTACAGACGTAACTGAAGGCGTGCTATGTTTCGTGTGATGGCATTTTGCATTCTAACAAGCCGCCCAAAAGGCCCGTCACTAATCATCGTTCTTCTTCTCTGATCGTTTCAGACGAGTATGTTTTCATGTTGCGCTGATGACATTAATGAGCTTAATGGTTACGCACAAGTCTGCGCCCTGAGGCGATTTGGTGTATACAGGCATGTGCAAATGAAAGTCATAATTTACTAGTTTAAGTAACTTCTGGTAGTTAAAACAAAGTCCCAGACGGATCATTTTACAGCAAGTACATTGACTCCGTCCTGCACAAAAAGAAGTGCGCCGTGGGCGGCAGGTGGGCGACGACTCCACACGAGTTCAAGGCAGCAAAATTGCAGAACGACTCTCATTCATGTCTTCCACTACCCTGACCTTCCCCTCACCCACCACCATCACCACCACCACGGGCCTGCGTTGGACAACCGGGGAGCTCGAAGGTGGAAGAATGTCCTTGTACGCCCTCTGTGAAAACATGCCACAGTGAAGGAATGCGGCGATTTGAAGCTACATGTCGGAGAGAACTGCTCGGTTTATTCCACTGCGAGACAGAGAAGTCTATTCTGGGGCCGTTGACTCTAAAATAGACTTCACACTGGGGAACGTTTACGGTTTTGAACTTTACACAATGTCACTTTTGACCCAGTCACAAAAAATGATCGATGAAAAGCATTCTTCTCATGGCCAGCTTCAGTCTGAAGACACGCGCTACTTCCTGAGCGGCGGATTTTCATCCAACACTGCCTTCATCCAGACGTGCACTTCTCCTAACCGCTCGTCCCTGTCGTAGGACTATGCGGACACAGAGCTGCTGCTGTCCCGGGCCAACGTGGACCAGGCCGCCCTGCTGTCTTACGCCCGCGAGGCCGCTGATTTCTCCACCAACCACCAGCTGCCCGCGCTGGACTTTGCCATCAACCACTACGGGCAGCCCGACGTGGCCATGTTCGACTTCACCTGCATGTACGCCTCGGAGAACGCCGCCATGGTGCGCCAGCGCCACGGCCACGAGCTGCTGGTGGCGCTGGTGGGCGACAGCCTGCTGGAGGTGAGATGGAGCGAGAAACGGCGTCTTTGTTTTTTTTGTTTTTTTCTAAAGCTTTCCACAGTTTTGACATTGTTCCCCCTTTTTTCTGTTCTCCTAATTCCTGTGGCCATATTTGGTGGTTTGGATGTGGCGTCTGCTGTGTCCCTCAGCCCTTCTGGCCCATGGGCACCGGCATCGCCCGCGGCTTCCTGGCGGCCATAGACTCCGGCTGGATGGTGAGGAGCTGGGCTCAGGGAAAAACCTCTCTTGAGGTTCTAGCTGAGAGGTGAGAGTGTGGAAATACTGAAACACAAAGACTCACCTAACACTTGTACTCGAATATGCGCCCGCGCGCGTACACACACACAGCGACACCTTCGCAGATGCGTGTTCTGTCTCTTTAAACACGCCCTCTTATCTTTAAGTGCTTTACTAGGAAATGTGTACGTGATTTCGAGCACTGGTCCCACCTCGTCTCGTACTAATGGGATAAGCGGTTCGCATAAGGACTGAATGGAATGGGACTCCCCTATATGGCCCTCTGTGCTTTTTTGATAACAATGTTAATGAGTTTTCGCGATCGATTCGCTTAGTATCTGCCTGTAGTTTTCCTCCCATCAGTAGGACTACTCATGTTGCACATGGGAATATAGCCGATGTTTTCCTCTGTGCTTTCAGGGAGAGTATATACCGCCTATTGCCCCAAACCACGCCGGAAAACGTCAGTAAGAACTTCAGCCATTTCAGCGTGGACCCAACGACGCGTTACCCCAACATTTGCCTTAACTTCCTCAAGCCCAGCCAGGTGAGCGAGAGCCAATCAAATCTCCGGTGCCGTCTTTTGAAGCCGGGAAACGCGTGTTCTGTCCACGTAATGTAGTACTGACGACTGTGTTTATCTTGCAGGTGAGGCACCTGTGCGACACAGGAGAGCCCAGGGAAATGCGCATCGAAATCGAGAATGTGATCAACTCTTCGACGCCAAAGTTGGCCAGGAATGGTTAGTCTCTGTTACCTGCTGTAGAATATGAACGGTTTCAGTAGTGCATAAGGAATGGTGCAGATTGGTGTAGGCGCCGATTGCTGATGTGTAATATTGAACTATTTCCACTCTAGACAATTGTCTGCTTGACAAGCAGTCGCGAGGTAACACAAAGTCCGAGAGCATGGTGTTGCTTTTCAAGAATTCCTGATAGTTCTAACAGTTGGAAACTGTCAAAATGAACAATGCAAACTGATGGAACTTGTGGGATTGACAGATTTGCAGCCTTGCAGATTTTTGTGTACTAACTCATAGTCAAGCTCACTGGTTTATTCAGTGGATTTATTGAATGTTTTTAAGGTTTCCTGTGTGCATCCTCTCCTAATCTCTCATTTGCCTCCATGTTTGTCCTTTTTAAAGCTTTTCACTGTTCATAACATTCACTCATTGGCTGGTTAAAACTGGTACTAACATGAATGAAGATGCCGTGGATGACGGACCTTTGTGATTCCATGCTCAGCCTTCCATGACATTGTCCAGCAGAAAACCGCGTCATGCTGCCCAGAAACTGTTTTATGTTCAACCCGGATTGTGTTTAACCTGCTGCGTCACTATCAGGCCTTTTTTGATTTTTGATTTTTCTGCCTCACCAGAATCCATAGCTCGATCCAGTAAGCTGCTGAATTGGTGCCAGAGACAAACTGAGGGGTACAGGAATGTCAATGTGACGGATCTTACGATGTCCTGGAAGAGCGGTCTGGCCCTGTGCGCCCTCATCGACCGATACCGACCGGACCTCATGTGAGTAGCAAAAAGAAACCTGTACGGAACCGGTGACGGGCCTATTTATTGGGGCCAATATCCTCAATACAATACTGTGTTTGTATACTATTTACATTATATACGAGAATCTTTATTCCTGGTTTTAGTTTTGACCGACTTGTTGCATCAACAATAAGTTACATTTTTACAAGAATTCTTTTTGATTATTTTAGGAATAAATAATAATTCTCCAAATTCATATATGAATATTTATTTTTCTTTCAAGAATTAATAAAACAATGTTTTAAGTCAAGCCCGATGTGGCACAGGAAATAATATTATGCGTCCCTTCCACACAGTGAGACATACAGCTTATTAATGAAATACTGGTGTTTGATCACTGCTCTGTATCATGCACAATGCCAAAAACCACAGAAGCGCCATGAGGGCCGAGAAAGTCAGGCCTGAGCGTCCCGATGCAGAACACCGTTCAAAAGGAGTTGCGATTCCTGCCGATAACAAATGTCTTTTGCAAAAAAAGAATTTTGAAAACTCTGCTACGCGTAACCCTTTATGGTCCGAGCTAAAGGTTTAAAACTCCTGCAGTGCCTGTAATGGCGAGCCTGCTGTGTGTGTATATGTTTATTGTCTGGTCGGGACCTTTGTATATTGAGTCAATCATCACTGTAAATGGGTTGACAGCTCTATGTACTAATGGCCTCTTGGAGCCCTCTTCATGTCCTGACCTGCTCCTCCCAAAGAAAGACACACGCACACACATAAACCCTCTCTTTAACATTACACACAGTAAAAACAACACCGTCTCCATCCGCATTGTAGTTTGCAATGCGACAACTGCAATTATAAGCTATAAGTGTCCGCGTCCCGAGTGACCTTTTAGCAGTGCAGCAGTTGTGCTCCGCTGCTCTTTATAGGCCAGTTGATGGAAGGAGGGGAGGGGGAGAGATGAGTTACGGTACCTCTGGGAAAACTGCGTTCACGTGTGCTGATGTACACAAAGGCATCGAGGGGAGAGCTCACGTTGTGCCTGATGTTCCAGTTCTAATGCTTTTAAGTGGATTGCACGTGCAGTTGAGATGTATTGATGGCTCCTTCTAATGGTATTTTCAGCTGCAGTATTGATGCATTAATTCTTCTTACTGCAACGTGTGTAAGTATCCTGCTGTACGGAGATGCTTCTCTTCTCCTGTGTACCGGGAGGCTCCGTGTCACTTCACATCCATTAGAGCCAAAACTGCTGTTAAGTTGCTGGAAAATAGAGACGAGATCTCTTTTTTTTGGCGATTCATCACAAAATGAGCAATATTAGATCATTCTCTTATTGATTTGGAGAGTAAGAGAATACTCAGCTGGGTGAAAGTCTTTACTCTGAACAATCCTATGAAGATTGTATTAAATAATTAAAAAACTGCAGTAATCAATACTTTTTGAATAACGATCACATGAGCAATGTAGGGGTCGCTCATAGTGACTGGCCAGGCATCATTTCTATCCCCAATCTGTCGTTTGCCTCGGCTCCACAGAGCTACAGAGCATCTGTCGGCTTTTGAAATCTAAAAACCACCCACGCAGACAACGTAAGCAGTCAGCTGGTGATCATAGTATTTGAATCACACTCGTCCGGTGTTGCTTCCTAATCAGTAGTAAATGATAATGTTGTTCTGTATTTGTCTGTTGGCTAAAATAAATTTCCATAACAATTTGGTTACATCATAACGATGGTTTGCACAGCTTGTTTCTGTAGCAACAAAAAATCTCCCGTGCAGCTAAAGTACAGTTTACTGTTGGAGGGTCTAATTTAATATAATCTCCTGTAGATGAAGATATACAGTTTAGGACCATAGTTTAATATGATAATGAACCAATGGAAGATGTCACATGTTTTATTCTTTGTTGAAAAAAAACTGTTAAATATGAATGATTTATATATAAAATTGAAATGTTCTTAAAACATGATAAAAGAAAAGAATCCCAACATAATGTATTATTTAAACAAATCTGCTAGTTTTTCTAGTAAATGCCCGCGTAGCTTGTAAATGTGCCTTTGTGTTACATTTACAGGAGCAGCAGAGATTTAAGATTGTTGACATTGAGTGTTTGTGGGTTTACGATCTTTTTACCTACTTGTCCCCGTGTCTCGGTCCCTGCATTCACTGCTCACTCTCTCTTCCCGCTGCGCCCAGTGACTTTGGCTCCCTGGACGAGCGAGACCAGGAGAAGAACAACCAGTTGGGCTTCGACGTGGCGGAGAGGGAGTTCGGCATCTCGCCCTGCATGACGGGCAAGGAGATGTCTTCGGTGACGGAGCCGGACAAGCTCTCCATGGTCATGTACCTCAGCCAGTTCTACGAGATGTTTAAGGACACAGTGCCCCCCGGAGGTGAGACCGGGGATTACAGTGGTGTCTATATGAAGTGCCGCGGATGATTTGACATCATCATTTGCCTTACGACCAAGAGGATTTAATCAGTTGCTTATTTTCTGCTCATTTCTGCACAGATAACCACAATTTGAGCCCGGAGGAGAAGGCGGCACTGATCTCCAGCACCAAATCCCCCATCTCCTTCCTCAGCAAACTTGGTCAGAGCATTGCAATATCCAGGAAACGGAACCCAAAGGTCAGCGTTGGAGAAATGCCCCGTTGGTAATGGCAAAATTGGCCCGCGAGAGTGAAAATAACGCGTGACGTTGTCGTCAACAGGACAAAAAGGAGAAGGACGTGGACGGTTTGGGGAAGAGGAGGAAAACCAGCCAGTCCGAAGATGTGAGTGGCTCAGACAGCAATGCGACTCAGATGTTGAGTTTGTGGTTATCGTTTGTGCAGCCAATCCAACCACAGCGGGCTCATTAATCCCACTCTGCTGACAGGCAAACAGGCTTCTCATGTCTGCGTTCTCACAGGAGGAGGCGTCCAGGAGCGGCCGTGACGACAGGCCGTCCGTCCCAGCCGTCCTGTCGGAGAGGAAAACGGACCCCGGCGCCGTGGGGAACCACAACAAGGTCAAAGTCATGGCCACCCAGCTGCTCGCCAAGTTTGAGGAGAACGCTCCTCAGGCAACGGGACTCAAACGACAGGTACGGTGGTGCAAAGCTCTCCACTGATTAGGCAGCTAGATGCTGAATGTGTCCGGACTTTGTTGCACTTCAGATGTTTCCGTGCTCATTGTGGTTTGTTTAACCCTTCAACGCATAAATGGGCCTATAAATGAGCCGAGGTCCAGAATGCTTAATGTTGGTCAGGGCTCGGTATTGTTTCTGGTCACGTAGGCGGCGTCGCACTGCTGACCGGGTCTGGAGGTGAACTGGTTCGCAGAGCTTCGGTTGGCCTGCCACCGAGAGAGGGAGGGCGAGAGGGAGGGCGAGAGGGAGGGCGAGAGGGAGGGCGAGAGGGAGGGCGAGAGGGAGGGAGGGAGAACACTAGGCCGGATTGTTGACTGGGGGGAAACTCTCATCTGTGCTGTTTGAGAAAATGTCTTGTTATTGTCAGTCTTCAAAAAAGCTGCCTCTGATTTTGAAGGGCTTTTTTTCTACATGGAAGCTTATGCTGGTGTGTTTGTTTGGACATTGAAGTAGGTGGAAATGGCAAATTGTATGATTTATGGTGCGGCTAAACTCAACTTTAAGGTTCACTTTAAGGGTAATCTTTGGCGATTTAGAAAAAGCCAAATTGCTGCGCAATTAGCTAAAAATACTTAAACACAAAATGTTCTTCCCGTTCCTTGTTTTTTTTGTACATTCCCTTTTAAATATCCCTAAGTGCTATTAGAAATAGCACACAGCTCTCCGCATGGTTCTCTCATGAGTGTGACTCATTTCCTCGTTAGTTTTGAACACATGATTTTCCCTTTGTTTCCATCCTCCCATGAATCACCGTCTCTGTTTTTCTCTCCTTGTTTCCACCTCTCGTCTTGGACTCTGTCACGACGCCCTCCTTGCACGGTTATGCGGCCCTCTCGCTCGCCGTCCCCTCCCTCCCCCATCTTTGTCTTGACCACGAAAGGGGGAGTCTCTGCCCAATCTGGATCGCCTTTTTCCCCTTAGCCTGCCCCAAGCGCCTGCGAAGGAGCCGGTGCGCCTGGCACCCGTCCCGGCGTGGAGAAAGGTAAAAGGGGGAACCGCCCCCACCTCATCCCCCGTAGCGACCTGCAGCTAGGCTGACCTAACCATGTGTCCCCGCGGTGTGTGGCATTAACCTGGGGGAGCTGCTTCGTGCCGTACTAGTCACCTTGTCGGGTGTTTTTTTTTTTTTCTGTGCGGGACGCTTTGGAGTGCGTTGCCTTCAGGGTCTTCTGCTGTCTGTCCTCTGCTTCTCCTGTGTCCTGGTTCAGAGACGCACGCAGCAGCAGGAGCAGCTGAGCATTCGCTACAAAGAAATGATCAAGGGTCAGCCGCTGCCCAACAGAGGGGAGCAGGTATGGTTGGCGACGCTAAACCTAGCCTAGCTTCAAAAGCCCAGTAGTCCTCCAACAACCTTTGCATCCCATTCGGTCCGGACCCCCCCCTGTCGTCATCCTGCTTTACTGTTCTCTCCTTTCCCCCGATGATGCTTGGAAAGTAGTCTTCTTTTTGTCTTGTCACTAGATTAAGTATTCCCCTCACAGAGACAGATTTAAACTCCAAACCCCCCCGTCTTTAACGAGATTTAATTCACTGCTGTTCCTAAACGTCCTCAAACTGCACAGTCAGTCTAGCTGCAAAGTTAATTAATTTAAAGTCTTTTGTAAAGACTTTAAATAATCGCAAAAATCCCAGGCACTTATTTTAGGATAGAGTTATTTAAGCTACTCTTATATTCAGTACTCACTTTTTATATTTATTAACTGACAACACTTTTGATGATATTTCACAAGGCCTTTTTCTGTGGTTTTCCTGCACTCTGCTTGGCCATATTTTATATATATATATATATATATATATATATATATATATTTATATATGACAAAGTTAACTAGAGAACCAGTGAATCACTTCCTCTTTTGACCACTGTATTTATAGGCCTTTTTTTTACTGCATACACTTGGGGTAGTCTGTGTTTGGGTGCCAGGATAACGATGCTTGCGTTGTGAAGTGTCACCCCACACTAATTCTTTTAACCAAATTGATAACAAAAATTATGCTGATGCAAATATGTTAAGCTACAACTTTACCTTTTTGTTTTGCAAAGTTTTCAGAGCACTGACATTCATTATCCCGCTGCAGATTACAACAATTGGGAGTGCGAAGCCTAATTGCTCTTAGCAGCCTCATTATTTTCATCATCATTCTCTTCCTCCTCTGCTGAATCTGCCGTTCCTGTCCTTCATCTCTCAAGGCCAGTGGTGGCGCGGACCAACTGTCCAGCTCGGGCTCTCGGAGCTGCCCAAAGAAAACCATTCTGCTCCCTTCTTCCTCCTCCACTTCTTCGCTCTGTCTCCACTCAGAGGTGACACACAGACTGCTGTGTCGGTGTGTGTGTGTGTCTGTGTGTGTTTGTCCATCTATCTCTGCCACGTGTCCATGGAAAAGCCATCTAGTGGCCCCTTTTACCCCAACTCCCATTTGTTGTTCTCTGAAAGCCTCCTCTAATTATGTCTGCCGTACCACCCGATTTGGCCTCTGCAGGATGTGGTCTGAATTAAAAACCAAACCAAAGCGCAGCGTTTCTCCGAATGAACTACCCAGAGAGGTTACAGTGTTGTTTTCTCCCCTGGACCCTTTTGAGTGGGTGGTGTGTGTGTCATTATCAAGAGGAGCTGCTTGTTTTCTTGCTGAAGGCGAAGCTGTTTGGATGTGACGGCTTGTGAATAAATGTAAGACTCTGGGGATGTCAGGTAATTTGATCTTTCTTTGCAAGGCACTGTCAAGAAATCCTGCGTAAACAAGCTGCTCTCTAACACAACGCCTCCTTTTAAAAAACAAAACAAAAAAACAATGTGTACATGCTCGATGCAGACCAAAGTGTTGATACGGTATGTGCGTCTGCTCATTTCTGCCTTCAAGCACTTGCATAAAAGTCCGGAAGAAGAGGAGCTTGAATACTACGAGACGCCTCTGGAATGCGGGGTAGAGTAAACGAGTGATCGCATGGCACATTCTTTAATCATTCTGGTTTATTAGCTGTAAACTATACTGCCTTATTGAGGAGAAATCTAGCTTTCCTTCACGTTAAAAGCGTGAGCCATTCAACCGAACGCAAATGGTCATCAGGTCTCAATAGAGCTTCCCCGGCAGGAGGGGAAGCCGACCGAGCCGAAAGCCATTCACATCCCCGGTATACAAGAGAGGGCCGACCGCCTGATCGCCAGGTTTAAGGGGAAACCCGTTATGCCGCCAAAGGTGAACACCGTGCATGGACGTTTTCTTTCATTTTTGATGATTTCCTATATCCGGACTTACATCCCCACAAGTCTAATTCCCTCTCGCCCCTCCCCCTTCCTCTGGAGCCTAAGAAAAAGCCGTCCCGTCTGTTTTTGGAGCAGTGGCACTTGTCCCGGGACCTGAGCCTTGGTCCACCACTGCCCACTCCTCCCAGCCGCTGCACCAAGGTTAGGCTTTGGTGCCGTGGACTGACCCTCTTAACACGCGTCTCAAGCGACCTCGTGTGGAAGTTTATCTCCAGTGCACTCAGTTAGCGCTTGGCTTTGCTTCACCTACACTGCTTGAATTAAAGGCCAACAAATGAAACTTGCTGGCAAAATCGTCCGTGGTTTTTATTGTCTTGAGAAACCTTTTGAAAAGGTGATGACATTTTCTGCTTCGTACATCTCTTCTGTGATTGAATTACGTATTCCTTTGCAGGAGGCAGCAAGGCCTCTGCACTGTGGTGATGAAATGCCCTTATATGTGCTCAGTATTCAGGAGACGGCTGAGCTACTGGCCTCTCAGCTCGAGGCCAAGCCAGCCGGAGCACAGGTGAAATTCCCCTGATTGTTGGTCAACTTCACCCTTTCAAAAATAGACACCGAGATCATCAGTGTTGATAATATCTATTATTAGTCTAAACTAGTGATTGCAGAAGGGAGCATGCATTATGACCTATGAAGGAATATTTATGATGGATAAGATGTGTTTGTATGGGATTCATCTTTCTGTTTTAGTTATTAAACTGTATGAAAGCACCGATCGTAAAAAGTGAATCCCTCTCGCGTCCTTTTTAGTTAACAGCCAAGGGCATATTCAAATAAAGGCCCCCACCTGTCCGAGTCACACACCTTGAGACAGATAGATATCCACGTGCAGGAATGTGCTGTGGTGACGCGAGCGCGCTTCACGGAGCCGCATCATCTCACACGAACACACGTGTTGCTCAGCAAGGCTTAAGCTCACTCGAGACTCTCTTTAAACGCCGCCTGCTTGTTGTGAAACACGGAGGGACTCATTTGCTGCCTGTTGTCGCCGTGATAAGTATGTGGGTGAGTAATCCGTCCTTGTGACTCTCTGCCTCGACGTAAAAAAAATATTCACATCTGGCACGCGCCTGAACCTAATTATAATACCCACACAGTCACGACGCCAACCGAGTCTCTGGCAGTTGTCTTGGATTTGGAAGAGCAGCTTGGCAGCAAAATGAAAAAAAAAATCTCATCTAGTTTAATTCCCATGTTGACGAGCGCAGTTCCAGTGGTGTCAGGAAAAGAACTTTGCAACGCAGTGGGACTGCAAAGCGAGCTCCAATCTCATGCACAGTAACAGCCTGCGTGGGTCAGGATTACCTCATACAAACAACGTCCATGCGATCTCTTTTTTTTAATGATCTTATCCTCATCCTGGTACAGATCGACTAAAGATTTAAAGTTATGACGGGTAATAACAGCACAGGTCGAATGGTCTCTTGCAACAATTTCTTTTATCAGGAATCCGGAATCCGGAAACATCTATTGCCAAAATATGTCAAACGTACAAGGAATTTGTCTTGGCGGTTGGTGCGTGACAGTAGAATATATTGATATGTATTGCCCCATTAACAATGCAAACAGTCATGTGCATGTGAATGAAAACAAGCGCATGCAGTGTGCATCAAGAGGCATTGATGTTATGAAGGCGCATTCAAGCTGTCCGTCGCTCACGTTATCTTACTTTCCTTTTTGTGACGTTTGGCCATCTGTGTTTTTCCTTCCTCGATGCCGTTGACGGCGCTGTGTAAGGATGCACACGGGCGGAGTTTGCTCGTTGGCTGAGCAGATAGCCAATCAGCCTCAATCAGAGGGAGACGCTGAGCCTTTCCCCGAGAAGTAACCGCGTATGTGACGGTTCGTGGATCACTGACGCGATGACTGGGGGACCCCCAGTCCTAACCTCTGCCGTGGTCTCTTGTCCGAGGGTTATGAATTAGCTCCTACAGTCCGGCAGTGGGCTGCCATGTGACCTCCACTAAATCCTTTGACGCGTTTACGCCTCTTCTCTCCCCAACAACTGACCCTCAGCGCTGTCCTCCCGCAGGGCTCCCTCAGGAAGGAGTTCCCCGTCAACATCGGCGGCAGCGACGTGTGCTTCTTCTGCCGAAAGCGCGTGTACGTGATGGAGAGGCTGAGCGCCGAGGGGAAGTTCTTCCACCGCAGCTGCTTCAAGTGCGAATACTGCAGCACCACCCTGCGGCTGTCCTCCTACGCCTTCGACGCCGAGGACGGTGAGGCTGCCGACCATTACTTTCGTGCATCGTGTTTCGTTTGTCATGAAGTTCCCAACGAACGACTGTAGCCGATAGCAACCAAGCAAATACAAATAAGTAAAATAAAAAGCCAGTTCAATACAATTACATTCGTTTGTTTGGCTTTACAGTCTGTACACATGCGACATCGTCTTGTCCCAGCATCGTCACGTCGGCTCAGTTGGTAAAGTGCTCAACACGTGCACTTTACCAAGTTGCACCGGACTTCGCTCATTTCTGCACAAACGTGGGCCGCCAGATTCATTTGAAAGATGCTACAACCACATGACTTTTCAACCCTTTCTTAACATGTAAAGCTCAGCCCAAAGGCTTGTGTTGAATCACATTACATTGACCTCAGAGTCACGTTCAGTCTCGTAGTTGGTCTGTGAGCTGCTCGAGGATAGGCGGCAGTTTTTCACATTTAGCCGTGGGACTTCTGAGCCGAGACAGAAGGGAAGATCTTTTTATTGTAAATGGCTATATATATAATTTTTATATTTTTTGGTTTATTTGTAAAAAAGAAATGCATGTGGAAAGCAAAGGATAAACCAGAGTGAAATCCCATGTATGCTTCAAGCTTACGTGGGATTTGGAATCAGAATCCTGATTCATATTTTCCAGATTATGCAATGCACATATTTATTTCTCAGTTGAATTGATTTGCATATGCGCTTTGTGTTTCCTTTACCCGACAGGGAAATTTTACTGCAAGCCCCACTACTGCTACCGTCTGTCCGGCTACGCTCAGAGAAAGAGGCCTGCTCCCTCCCCCGGTCCCATCACTGCTAAGGTACCGTTTCCCCTGCACTAGATCCCGGTGGGATTCACGGGCGCAGCCTTGAAACCAGCGTATTGTTTTTGTTTAAAAGCTAAAAAAAAAGCTAACATGTGGGTGGCAGTAGCATCAGGGGACATTGCCGCGGTTGACCTCGTCTGTCTGTGCAGGAGAACCAGGCGGCCCAATCTCCCACGGCGACCGTGGATGCCCCCGGGAGGGCGACGACGGCGACGGCGGCGGGTGCTGCAGCGCCCTCGGCCGAGCTCCAGCCCTCAGGTACCCCGCTTTCCTCTCTCGCTGCGGTGGCTGCGCCTTACCGTCTGGTGACGGGCACGGGAGCCCGCCTGCGTACCCTCCGCCGCACGCTCTCCTGGACCTGCCATCAGGTGGCCCGCAACCCCCTAGACTCCCCCTTTCTGTGTACCTACTGCATCTACCTCTTCTGCTGTTTCTCCATCAACGTCCTGCTCAACCTCCTCTAGCATGACTCTCTTGTCCCTCCTTTCTTTTCCTTACTCCCTTTGCCAACTAATGTCAGTGGGACTGTGCAGAGTTGGCTGCGTGTAATGAATCACTGAACCTGCGGCCTGTTCATGTGAAACCTCGTGATTCCCCGTCTCAGTGATTTATTTATCTCCTTGAAGATGCACTAGTCCTTTTTTTTTTTTTTTTCTCGCAGACATTTTTGTAGCTTGGGATTTTAGATTTGAATGGTGCATCTTTAATTTATTTATTCTTCTTGGCTTGGTCATTAAAACGGAGTTGGTCAGAGTTCCTTCTGGTCGGCTCGTCAGGCACAGTATTAGCCATTTGTAACTCCTACTGTGCAGGTTTTATTAACAGATGTGGCAGTAATGTACCAGCTGTTATTCAAAATAACATTTAAAACTCGCAATCAGCAATGTGTTCATCTAAGTTAATTCCATCGACACTTTCCTGCCTGTTTTAATGAAGAGCCAAGCTTTGTTCTGTTGTGATTGTAACCTCCACTTTCTTTTAGCTGTACCTCCTCCTGTGTGATGTGTTTCTTTTAGAGCCTACGTTGTGATGTTTCTTTCTCTATAAGCTGTTTTGCGCCTAGAGTGTCCTTTCTACTAAACCCACCATGCTGTGACAAAGTGCCTGTATCTGTACTTTTTGTGAGCTTTACCTTTCCCCTCCTATCAGAGCATCCTAAAACTGAGAGCTTGACTAGTGCTTGAATTAGTGCCTGTGATTGGTTCTCTTGTGATCCCCCCCCCCTTCCCGACCTTCCCGTCTGTCGTCTTGCATCCCTCGACCGATCGCCTAATATCGTTCTCATCTTTGCTGAATCGTATATTATTGTAAAGTATGATCAACCAAAACTAGAAAGAGCTGAACAGGCTGGTAATATTAACAAAAGAAGAGCACTATAAGTTAGTTAAGTTATGTTGAGGCCTGCTGCAGTTATTTACTGGACTGTAAAATCCAAAATACTGTTACAATAACCAAACTAACACGTAAGAACTAAAGACATTTAGCAATCATTATGCTCCAGTGTTTCTCATGTTTTAGTAATTCCTAAAATAGTGTTAATAATATTTCTTATTTTAAACATTTAGGTTAGATATGCAACTATAGGAGGTATTTGTAGGGTCACGGGTCAAACCTTTTTATTGAGTTCTGGTTTTAGTAAAAAAAGTGACCTTTAACTTGGTGAAATTAGTTATTTTCACTTCGGTTTTACGTTGTCCGGCATTTTGCCTTATTTAGAGGAACTCCAACACCCCCCCCCACCCCCCCACCCCCCCAAAAAAGCAGTACAGCTGTTTGTCAACATGTCTTATGTTCTACAGCATCAAAACTCTCATTCATTATTCATTATCACACTTATCTTTTTTTAAGTGGCATTTATATGGGTTCATTTCTGAATTTGAGAGCAATTTAATGGCTGCTTGAATAAGTTAAGGGACAAAAAGTTTAGTATGTTGTAAAAAAAAAAAAAAATTATTTATATCCATTTCATTCATATCATCCAAATATATATGTACACACAGTAGATAAAGTTAGGTAAATAAATATACAGTTTAAAGATTTGCTTCTCAGGATGGGAAAAAGGCAAGGCACCAATCTGGTATTAAAGACTCTAGTATACAGAATCATTTTAGAATGTTAAACTTATGTGTGTTTGTTGATAATATTTGCTGTAGGAAAATAATCTAATGCAATAAATTCAGTTGTAGATCTGCAATCGGTGTGTCCTTGTCAGTTTGTTCTTAAAATACAAAGTAATGTGCATGAAGAGTCAGCAGTTGCATTTCCTGGATGTCTGATGGCTTTGATGCACTAGACTGTTACGTTTACATAATACATTGGATTTCTGTAGCACTTTAAAAAGGTACTCAAAAGCACTTTACGGGAAAAGATCAAATGCACAAGAAAAATAATCGGAAACGAGCGTCACAGGTTAAAAGCAGAGTTAAGGATGCAGAGCGTTGTGTTGTTCACGCACAAATTCAGCGTGGTCTTTCAGTCAGCCCTGCACGGCTCCCACACCGCAGAAGTTTCTCTCCTCTCTACTGTTGCATGTAATATGATTCTCAGTTGCCTTTTTTTGTTCTCTCCTTCGTCTGCCCACCTCCCTCTCCACCTTGACCCTCATGCCATGACGCCATTTCCCCTCCGCCCTTCGCCTCCGCCAACGACCCCAGCACCGGGGGTAAACGGACTGCAGGAGCCCGGCCTGGCCAAACGTCTGCGGGGAACTCCGGAGCGCATCGAGTTGGAGAACTACCGTCTGTCCCTGCAGAGGGAGGAGGAGCTGGAGGAGGTGCCCGAGGAGACGCTGGCAGAACACAACCTCAGCAGCGTGCTGGACAAGCCCACGGATGCCGACCTGGGCTCCAGGTAAAAGCAAGAAATGCTGATGCTTTGATAGTTGGACAAAGTCACAATAGGATCTGCATTATTCACGTCTGCATTTCTTGAAATTAGTTATCCATTTAAGTGACAAACTATTTAGTTTTTCATGAATAAATCCACTAACCAACAGCAACAATATTGAACAAAATTGAGTTGTTTTTTCTAAATTAAAAACTTACACTGAAAAGTTGTTTTCAAAAAAATAAATAAACTAGCATTAAATCGTAGAAAGGATATTAAATTGAAAAAATTAAATCCATTTTTGGCTTTTGCACACGGAAATGTTGTCATTTTTCCTCGAAGGTTCACCTGCAAATTACAAAAATCAAAAACAAAAAGTCCTCCACTGACCCTGCGGCCTGTCCGTGTTTTCCCTCCTACTTGTTCTAACGCTTTGCTCCACCTGTGTTTTCCAACAGTAGCTCGGAGTCAGACATGGAGGAGGAGGACGAGCAGGAGGACCAGGATCTGGAGGAGGGGGAGCAGCAGCCTCTCAGCCCTTCGGACCTCGGAGGTGTTCCCTGGAGGGAGGCGGTAGAGCTCCACGCTAAACTCAAAGGCAAGGAGGAGGAAGAGGAAGAGGAGGAGGAGGAGGAGGAGGGGGGCGAGGCCCCGGCCGATGCCGCCAGCAGAGACGGGGAAGTAGACGAGGACGACGAAGAGGACGAGGAGGAAGATGAGGAGGAAGATGACGATGAGGAGTCTAGCGATGGTAAATCAGTTTGTTTGTTTACCCCTCCTTGCCTTTGACTTCAAGGCGGTTCCTGTAAAGATTGTAAATGCAGTTTGTCTCCATCCACCTCCTCTTCATCACGTGCCCCTAAGTCCACTGTGTTTGTGAGCGTGCATGAATGTGTGTATCTGTCTTTGTGTTTTTGTGCTGGGCCTCCGTGTCCCCTTGCCGACAGAGGGGGACTACTGCCCGTGGGATAAAGAGCTGCAGTCTGGCCTTTGGCTGGAGAAGCACCTCACAGACCAAGAGGATGTTGGTACATTTAAAGGTAGCAGCAAAACTGCCTGTGGATGCGTTTGCAGTGTCTGTGAGCGTGAAATATAATCCCCGCTGGTTTGGGTTTCCTTTTTTTAAAGGATTTTTACAAAGAAGTGCTTTGTGGCTTTTTCTTTTGGTTTGTTGTTTGCTGTTTCAACGAGGACTTTGCGTTTGAAAATGGGTTTCTTTACTGTGAGACACTAACCTGTAGTATCTCGGTTTTTGTTGTTTATGGCTTCAATGCACTAACCTGAGTTCCCCCCGTAGGTGCTGCAGATATGTCTTGGCATTGAGTTGCAGCATTGTTGTTTTCAACATGTCAATATCATTTCTTTCTTTTCTTTTTGCAGTCCAGTGCATGCAGCCTCCCTTTGTGTTTTTAGTGCCACTGCATTCTAACTCTCCCTGCCTTTTTTTTCTCTTTCCTTTTTCTCTTGACCCTCTTTATTTTCAACTGCCTTGATTTCCCTTCATCTGACTTCTTGGCATCAAACACAACTCCACCGACTGCCTCGTTTAGCCCGAAACCTGCAGATCCAACAAATCCTTCAGCCGGTGGATCCGCAGGCCATTCCAGGTCTGGTGAGAACTCACCTGGACTCGCCGGCCTCGGCCTCCCAACCCTCCCGACCCTCTGAGCTCACGCAGCCCCCCCGCACAGGTAACCCACCCAGAGGAGCTGAAGACCCCGGGAAGGTTCCGGCCGAGGCTTCAGGCCTCACGGGATCTAAGTTTAGGCTGTGCCGTCCCACCCCACCCAGTGCGGCTGCTGCTGTTCCGTTTTGTGTCTCTGTGTCTGCGACGGGAGGAGCCGCGCCCCCCACCCCCCTCCCAAACTAACTCACCTGTCGTTTGTCACCATCTCTGATTTTGTCTTATTTTGTGTTCCACCTTTTAATTTGTCGTTCAGAGTTGCTGCAGTGAACCTCGTGTTTTAAGCACATCCCAGTGCGCCTCATAACCCCCCTTGTCAGTTCCTTTTTGGTTTTGTTCTGCTTTGTTCTTTTGTGTTCTGCCATGTTCCTTCCCATGTGTCTAATTACTTTACCGTTATTTCTACCCTTCGTTGTTGTCATCTGGTTTGAACGTAGCGCCCGCCCACACGTCCGCCCGACGCGAGGCAGTGAGGGTCTGGTTGGAGTCCATGTCTGGAGGTAGCACAGACTCATAAGGGATCACGACCTCCCGTCCTAGACCCTCCTCCTCTATCTGTCTGGCCGTTTTTGTTTTTTTGTTTTTTTTTCTTCTGGAGCATGCTGCCGACCCGCTCCGATGCCGGTGAACTCACAAGCTTGCATGACGCAAGGCTGTCGCTCTGAAGAGTCCTGCACTCTTTGGGTCTCGTTTCACCTCCCGCCCTTTGTTCTTCTCCATCCAAACTTCAGAAACGTGTATCTTCTCTAACATTTATTAGCCAGCTATGTTGGACATGGCGGTCGTGGTGTGTGGTGCGTACACGGAGCAAAGGACGTTAATGTACAATTAAAAATCCCCAACCTGGAAATGGCACTTGTACTCGCGCAGAGTTCAGATATCGAGGCTGTTGAGGTCTTTTATTGAATTTTCTTTTTAAACGCTCTTCTGAATGTAATGAGAGTCCCACGCACATGTTTGAATTCATAGGCAACACTTGTACTCGGGGTTAAAAGCTGAGCAATCTCCTTGTGCTGAGACCCACTAGACACCCACACGGACAAACGCCTGTCTACTGTGATGGTTAATGTTACTATTATTCTTAAAGTGAATAGATTATTTTCAGCCTCTCCCATCCAATTTATTTCGAATGAAGGATTATTGCTCTTTACTTAACCAATGTCTTTTTTTTTGGGCTTTTGCTTGGTTCAAATGTAATCCATTTGCACATTTGAAGATGGATAGCTGCATGTATCTATAACTAATGCTGCCATGAGCCCAAACCTTTGTTGATCTTTGTTGACTGATTTTATAGGATTTCATGAGTACTTCAACTAACTATGATTTTCTTGCCATAGAGCTTTCCTTAAAGCTGAAATAAAACCAATGGAATTTGGTTTTCCTGCCATTTCATGCGTTGATTTTTTCCTATAACTGCGCTCCACTCTTAAACTCTTTTTGACAAGACAGTCTTTGAATTCTGGTTCTCTCAACAATTTTCCTAAAAAAAAAAATAAAAAAAAAAGAATGACACTCACGCTGACTCTGCTTTTAATTGTCACATCAGAGCCCTGTGAGGATGAAGATCTGGAAGCAGAAGCCGAGGGTCCAGACACGGAGCCGGGAACAGAGATGGATCAGGGTGAGCGCTCACACAAATAAAACCGGATCAATTCCAGTTTTGGTTCCTTTTATGATAAAAGAACAGTATAACTAACAATATAATGCACCCTAACAGTTCCATATTTCAAATTGTTATGTCTTTATTATAGATGACATCCCTTCAGATGCGGAAGCTGAGGCTCTTTTGCACCAGCCACAGCAAGTGCTTCCCGAGGATGAAGGGAAATCAGAAAGTCTTCAAATGGCCTCCAGTATTGGTACGTGTCCCTAATGATGCTCTAAATTCACCACAAATATTTTAACATGAATAAAAGCATTACTGTTATTGTTCCACGTAGAGCCATCCAGGGACAGCCCCCTGCAGAAAGAAGAGTTTCCTCTTCCCTGGCTCAAATCTCCGGATCCTGATTCACAGGTGAGTTAATTCCACATAGAGTTTATGCGACTTTCGTTGTGATTACATCCTAATCTTCTGTTTCTTTTTCCAGATAACGGCGGTGACGTCCCCCGGCACGCGCTTCTTCCCAGAACCGTTCATACCTGAGGAAATGAAGCCTGAGAGGCGCACTCCTTCCCCTCCCTTAGCCGCCACGAGCCCGCTGTGCCCGCCCGCTGCTCCAGCCCAGGATGCCCCCTGCGTCCCGTCTCCTCCCGCTGCCTCGCCGCCCCCAAGTCCTCTCACCAGATCACCGATCGGCCCTCCGGCCAGCGAGTCCCCCATCTGCTCCCCGATCCGCTCTCAGCCCGCCGCCGCGCCGGAGCCCCGCGCGCCTGCTGCATCTCCCGTCTACCCCCACCGCTCCATTTGCCCCCTCACGGGCAACCCCCTGTCCCCAATCTGCGCTCAGCCGTTGCCTTGCCAGGAACCCTCGTCGCCCCTCGCCTCCGACTCCCCCGTCAGAACTCAGCCCGCCCCCGCCGTCACCTCCACCCCCTTGGCCAAGACGGACAGGCGCTCGCCCGAGCCGTCAAAGTCAATGGATTCCTCCGCAGAGGAGACGCCGTCTAAAAAGACGGATATCATCGAGGAGTTTTGGATGAAGAGTGCCGAGATCCGGAAGAGCCTCGGCCTGACGCCGCTGGACCGCAGCAGTAAAATCCTGGAGAAGAGCGTGCTTATCGCTCCCGCGCAGAGAGCTCCGCGCCCGTTAAGGCCCCCGACGTGACGGAGGAACAGAAGCCCCCCTTCGCTGGCCGAGCCGTCATCCGCAGACTCAACATCACCCTCGAGGGTCAGGTCATCACCCCCATTGCTCCCGCGGAGCCCAAGAGCAACGGCTCGGACCGGAGGGACGCCAGCAGCAGCTCCGGCTTGGGCCTGAACGGGAGCATGGCCACCAGCCACACGGCAAACAGCGAGGGCTTCAACACGTCGGACTCCGTCATGCTCACCCCGCCCTCCAGCCCGCCACCCCCCGTGCCCGCTAACCAGTCTCCAGCCGTGTTCCGGCAGCAGAGGAACCAGGTGTCCTGGAGCAACGGAACAGGAAAGCCTCCGCCTGAGCCGGCGAAGGCCAAGAGCCCCGTTCCCGCACCGAGGACCCACCCGAGCCCCGCGTCTGCACCCGTGCCCGCGCCCAGGAAGGTGTCCTCGCCGCCGCCGGCGGCACCACAAGCGTCTCCGGTGGCGGTCGTGATGAGGGAGAAGAAGAAGCAGCCCCGTCCGCAGGAGGCGAGGAAGTCCTTCGTGGAGACGGTGGAGGAGATTCCGTTCGCTGACGACGTGGAGGAGTCCTACGACGAGAGGACGCCGGAAACCAGCATGAGCCGGTACTACACTCCCCCCACCAGCAAGCCCAGCAGGGAAAGACCTCCGCTGCATCTGGCCCTGGCGATGGAAAACGGTAAACCCAATTTCCCCGTCAACCAAGCGCTCAAGAACCAGCGGGCGACGCAGTTCTCCCCGGAGGCCAAGGAGATCGCAGAGGAGAGGATGAAGGCCCGAGAGAAGTCCGTGAAGAGCCAAGCTCTGAAAGACGCCATGGCCAAGCAGCTGAATAAAATGAAAGAGTCCGACGCGGACAAGGGCGCCTCCCCCAAAGTGGCGTGGAGCGTGAGCGCGGACGTCGCGGCAAAAAGCAAAAAGTCGCCCGCATCGCCAAAGTCCTCGGCCGTGAAAGCCCTGGAGTCGAAGAAGGCGGAGACTCTGCCCGAGCGCTTCTTCAACAGCAACAAGAGCCTGGACAGCTCGGCGGCCTCGTCGGACGGCTCCTCCTCCGCCAGCAAGAGCAAGAAGCGGAGTTCCCTCTTCTCGCCGCGCAAGAACAAGAAGGAGAAGAAAGCCAAGAACGACGGCGGCAGGCTCTCCGAGGCGGACGAGACTCCGCCCAAGCACAAGTCGCTGTGGAAGGCGGTCTTCTCAGGGTACAAGAAGGACAAAAAGAAGAAGAAGAAGGAGGATAAATCTTGTCCGAGCACGCCGTCCTCGAGCTCCACCACTCAGGACTCTGGGAAGAAGAAAGCGTCGCCTCTGGCGAGATCATCCGGTACGAAAAGGTTGTTCGGTTTAGTCAATGTGACGCCGGTTCGGAGTATGTTTTACAGCCTCGTTTGCTTGTTACAGACCTGAAATCACGCAGGAACTTGAGCTTCTCCGAGGAGTCGGACCTGTCCTGCGACGACGTTCTGGAGAGGTCCTCCCAGAAGTCAAAGGCAGACGTGAGTAATAATGGACGCGTTAACACATGTCGCATCTTCACCGCGACACATCGAGCCCAGCTCGCCTCCACCCGAGACGCCTCCGTCTGCAAAGCATCTGCCCGCTATCAGTGGAGACCAGCTGCTCGGAGCCGCTCAGCTCAACTCCAGGGGCGCGGAGATTGTGAACATCCGTGGAAGTTTAGGTTCTGGTTGTTGTAGATATTCCCGATCCTATTGAGCGACGTAGAACGTTTGGGGCTTATCGAGCGTAGACATCTATTGCATCCTCTGCTGTTTAACTTCCTTCTTGAAAATTATATATTTTTTTCTTTCAATGATTTCTTCCCCTGCCAGCAACACTTGGACATCTTTGACCTTGTGTCAGGTCTGCAGAAGGAAGCGTTTAAGGAGGAGAAACTGCAGAAGGAGAGAAGGAGGGAGTTAAAGGAAAGAAAGCGGTTGAAAGAGAGTCATAATAAAAGAGAGCAGGAGAAAGAGGTTGACCGAGAAAAAGAGAAGGACAATGAAGAGGTATTGTGCAGAGATGGGTTAAAGGATTTTGAATTTCTTCCAAACATAGTTCTGTAAAGAGGCAAATCTATTATATTTTACAGTGTAAAGTACACAAAGCTGTTGAGGTATTTTATTGATTTCGTTCAATAAAATACCTCAACATCTGGTTTATTACTCGCCTCAAATTATTCCTCAGTACTTCATACAATCCTTGTTTACATTCTTGCCCCCAGGTAATCTGGTAAAAATGCAGCCCCACAATATACTTGTTCACGTCATCATCAACCAAATTACTAAATGAGGAAATTATTCCAAAGATTGGATTCATTAAATATGGACATGGCATATTAGGACTAATCAGAAATTCAGCATTTCTATAATTTCCATCCTAAGAGTTCCTACATGAATCCATTTGCCTTCATTATGTGAGAGTGAAATTCAAAATGTTTGCCTCCACTGCAGCTCAGTGTGTGTGTGTCTGGTGGTTTAGATCGGTGCTGTCGGGTTCAGGGCCAGAGGCATGACTTCATCAACCGTAAACACATTTAAGAAAAAAGAGTTTACATTCAGTTGTTTTTCTACTAATATTGATCTGAATTTGGACCGTACGCAGCTCCGGGGGGGGGGGGGGGGGGGGGCGGTCAAAGCTGCGTTGTGCCTCATGCGGCCTCAGAGAGCCCGCTGGAATCAAGTAGACGCGTCTCGGGTGACCGTTCAGCTCTGTAGATCCGTGAGTGCATTAGATGTATCGCCTTAGAGACAATAACCGACTGTCCGTCTGCTCTGTGTTAGAATCGGAAAAGTCTGTTTTTCTTACAATATGTTTTACAATTGACTCATTTCTGATTAACATGGATGTATAAAATGTCACTGCACTGTGCCATTTTGTGTGTTGGTGTGGGATATTAACATTGCACCAGCTTAAATTATCATATTTTATGTTTAGTTTGTTTGTTTGTTTTTATTTTTTACCAATTCAACATAATCATTAACCCATTTAATCATCATCGTTTCCTCCCTTTTTTGTTTTGTCTTCCCCAAGTCTGTATATGTCCCTCACGCACTGGCGTTCAAGAGATCGTACGCCACAAAGGTAGTATTACATACGTTCCCATCGATAACACACCCCCCCCCCCCTCCCCCGAGCCCTCAGCGCATGTGCCGGTCTACTGTCATAACACCTCGTGCTCTTTGTATGCATGTGGCAGTCGCACCCTCACTGCTGCACATCCGCTCTGTTAAAACGCGACTCTTCCAATTAGCGTTCGCTTCTCCGGCCACAACGGTGCCTCCTGGGTCTCTCGATACGAGGGTCCGTTCCTCTCTGACCGGGACGATATTAACCTGCCTCTATCTGCCACTGCGGCACTGTCGCTCCCGCCTGGATACATACAGGAATAGCTGTGACCTTTTTCCTCGCAGCGCTGTTCTCTCTTTCTCTCGACTCGCGGCGGCTTTTTATGTCCTCACCACTCCGCTAATGGCTTTTTCACCTGCTGTGTCATCAAGGGAGAGTGCGAACTTGATAATAAGTGTTGTATGTAGATCCTGTGGAGTGAAGTCTGAAATATCCAGAGCTAGATTTGTTTTTGTTGTCCCTCGCCTTCTGCAAGATGTAGTCAGTTCCCCCCCCCCCCCCCTCCCTCTCCTTCTCTCTGAGGGGCAGGGCCCCGTGGACTCCGCGCCTTATAGAAGTAGCTTGTGCGTGAGACTTTAATGAACCGAATTGTTTTGCTTTTGTTGTTATTGCACCAGAAAACCTACACCGAGGAAGAGCTAAATGCCAAGCTGACACGGAGGGTCCAGAAAGCTGCACGACGGCAAGCCAAGCAGGAGGAACTCAAGAGGCTGCACCGAGCCCAGGTAACTGACCTGTGCTGACCTTTGCTCCATCGCCTCTGAGCGGTGGACATTCCTTGGTTGAACGTCGCAGCGCCTATCGAGTGTACTGACTTTCCTCTGGATGAATAATCCTCTAAATTTTCCTCATTTAGCTCCATCGTCAGGTCAAAGGTTCCGTTGGTATTATAATTTGTATGACGAAATACTATTCCATGCTGGCTAACGCGAGGAAGAGATAGCGTAGATGGCTAACATCACACCTGACTGTTGTCATTGTGACCTTGTTTGCATGCTGATGTGATTAAGGACTCAAAGCTGCAGGCCATCGGCTGCAGTCTTCTGATGTCTTCTTGAAAGTGGGTTGGATGCATTCCTTTGTGCCGGTTTCACAGAATCATTACTCATTTTGTGCACGAACTACTTCAAAACAGCGTAGTAATGTAATGTACGTAGTGTTTGCCTCATGCTGGAATCAGGCTGCAAAGTTATTATTTTTTTTTACAGGTAGTCTGTATTGTCTTGTAGTTGTGTTTTTGTTTTATGTACACTATTAGGGAATATATTTTATTGTCCAACTGCCTCCTGGATTTCAAAATCGACCACTCACTCATTAGATCACCGTGTTTTCTTTCTCTAGCAAACCGCTCGCGAGTTTCACCTGCATTTTGGATGGTGGCTGGTTCTTATTTCTGACACGGTCTTAAATTTCAGTCACTTTCAGACTTTGGGTGTTAAATTCACTGTCATTGACGTTGAAACTCAGCACTGAGGTTTCCAGTCCACCGGCGCGGCGCTAAGCTGCAGCTTAAGCCTTCCTCTGGAAGCTGCGGTTAGCCCGTCTAAACGCTGCTTCCTTTTAGTGGCTATTTGCAGAACACAAACCACACTTCTTGTTCAGCTCTTTAGCTGCATGGCACTGATAAAAGTTCAGCAAAGTGGTCAGAATCTGAGGGAGGATGGGGGGAGACTTTCGGATTGAGCCATTTCTGTTCATTTCGTACACCTCCTAATCATTGATCATTTTAATTATGAAACATTCTTAATACAAAATGTCCCATGATATTGATAGTGAAGTAGGTTTAAGTCGCAGTGGTTGTACTTCACCGGCCATTGTGGCATCGGCCAACAACAAGCGACAGGCTGCATCCCTCATTGCCTCCCATTTAAAGTCAAACACAAGGGGCCGAGAGAGAGAGAGAGTGTGTGTGAGTGTGGGCTGAATGGGGGAGAACTATGAAATATGAACCGTTTTCGGTGAAATCCATGAAATATTTGCCCTGTGTGCTCGTAGACTTTAATTAGCAGCCCTCCCACTGTGCCCCCATACGGTTATTTTTAATGAGGCTAAACTGTTGCATTAGTGAACCTCTGTGGACGCCTCCCTTCCAAACTTGTCGCACATAAAAGTTGTGATTAGTGGTAGAAATTATTCTGTGCAGCCATGAACGATAACTCGTAATGTACTGTGTTTATGCACTTTGTTAACAACACGACTCCTTTGTCCGTTCAGATCATCCAGAGACAGCTGGAGCAGGTGGAGGAGAAGCAGAGGCAGCTGGAGGAGAGGGGCGTAGCTGTGGAGAAAGCCTTGAGAGGGGAAGCAGGTAACAAATTATTCATTCTGCACCTCTATAAGTGTCGGAGAGAACTTCTATTATTGGACAGAATTTAAATCATTTTAATGAAAGGTAAACTTTCCCCAAGTGGGGAGGAGTGCCACTGTGCACAAATGCCCCACATGCAGTAAACCAAAGGGTGGAGTAACATTAATTCAGAGAAAAACAAATGATATTTACATTTTTATGAGTGGTTTAGCGATCACCCAATGATGTAAGGCAATTAAATCTCTTTGCATCATCGCTGACACGAGAGGTATATTTTATCTTTACGTGTCGAGTTCTGCCTCTTTCTAGAGCTCCACGGGGAACAATAATAACAACGATGATTGGGATGATCACTAAGAGCAGTAACTCAGAAAAGCCGTCCCCCTGCAATCATTTCCACTGCGTTGAGCTCAGTCTGCCTCTCTGCTGTTTCTGCAGCCGCACTGAAGACGTGTCGGCACGTAGATCTGTGTGGAGCAGAAAGACGTTTGCTGCTCCAACGTAATGAGCCAGAATGTATCTGAATAAGGGACTATCACAGACAATGTATTTCTGAGAATACAATTATGTGTTTATAGTGCAATAATAATACATCAGGTCAGCTTTGTATGTGAGGAAGACGCTGAGGTTATCCTCTTTATAGAGGTTACAGTTTATTCCATCCTTATTTACTCAATGATGATGGTAGCATAAACTTTTATCATGCAAATGATTGCACGTTTCTTAAATTCAGCCAATTTTCCAGAGCAACAAAATAACTTTTTTGCTTTTGCCATGAGTTGTTTGAGTATGTTTTAACTTGTTTACTACTCTACTCTCTTAAAGGATTGTATAAAGGTACTTATACATTACCCAAACAGCACAAAAGAAGATCAGGTATTAGATTTACCGCAGTTTCCTCTTTATTTTTATTTAATGACATGTGGCACTGTAATATAGGCTCCATCTGTGGTGACACGCTGCAACATTTCTCCCATCTCCGAACATGTTGACCTGCTGTTCGTTCATCACGTGTCCGCCATCGTCGGTCTGAGCCGCATGCGATCAGGAGAATGTGTGTCCCAGCATAGATTTGTGTTTGCTCATTCTGGATGCGTTTGTGTCTCCCGTCACGACGAGGAGAGGATCACGTTGCATTTGATGAATACAATCAGAATGCGAGAAGCCAATTGGTTTTCGCGGCAGACAACTTTATTGCGGTATTTTCTGCAAACGTTTGCCGTCGCTGATTGATACAAATTAGTTTTTTTTTTTTGTTTAATGTGGTGAGTAACGGCAATCCAGAGTTGTTTGTGACTCTGTCTGTTGCACTCAAAGCTCGCACTTATCACGCAGCTGCTCTTTCAGTCCGACCTGATTAAATCATTGAATGTTTTTAATTGAACGTTTGTTTGTGCACATGGACTGGATAGTACGTAGCTGTTTGCACTACTGCTCTGTCAAATTTAAATGCAGGCAATACAAAGATAATAATTACTCGGCACATTACTAGAGGCTTTGTGTGATATTAAGCAGACTGAGTCAGAAAACAGCAACACAGCAAATCTATGTTGCAGCCTCTTGTTATTTTTTGAAAGAAAAGCCATATGCTCAGCCTGACTGCATTTTGCACTGTGGTGAGTACTGATGGACTGTCTTTGTTCCAAGTGCGCCGTCTGTGTGTGTGTGTGTTTGTATAAGAACTATTTTCAAGAAAATGCATGACTTGCTGTTGGAGGATTTTGTGCGCCGAGTTTGGGGCTGTATGAAATAACTCTTAATATATCCCTGTCATTGTAGACTATTGGGGAGATTCTAATTACAGTGAAATCCTGGACTTGCATCTGGGCGGTATGTATTTCAAATCTGTCGCTTTCAAACTAACCCAACGGCTAACCCATCTGTCCTCCTGCCCCCTTTTGATTCTTTACTACTTAAGCTTTGTACCCCTCATATCTACCTTGATTAGCTGACTGGCAGGCTATTAGCCCCATTGCAATGCTGCTATAACCCCCCCTCCCTCTCTCCCTCCTTACTCCCCCCCACACTGACCCTCTTTACATCAAACAAAGATTAGACACTTGGCCTCATGCTGTCCTCCTTAGATTGCCTTTGATCTCTATAAACTCAATAAATGATAACTGAATTAACAAGTAAGTTTAATTTGACTCCTCGGCGCCGAGACTTCATGATGAAGACAGCGACATATTTCAGCAACAGATATACAAGTAGCAATATAAATTCATGTTGCATTCATAGAAGCGCTGCGCGCGCTCTGGGGACAAGTCCAGCAGCGGAGAAGAAAAAATAAATAATGCACTGGCAGAATTGCCTGTGGAATTTCATCGTGCATACAGACATGCTCTTTAAAGATGACCTTCTTTGCATATTCATTAAAAAATATTGTGCAAGATTTCCCCCCCCCCATAGTTTGTTAACCAAATTCATGCTTGAGGGTCACAATAGCGCCTAGAAGTGTAAATTAGGATTTAAAGCTTAAAGATGCTGATATTCTATATTTTCTTATCGCCAGGGAAACCCACAAAAGAAAAAGGAATGTGGATTTTTTACCAGCCAGTGGTTGTGCAAATCAATCTCAGTTGTTGCCCAAAATCTAATAAAAAACACATCAACTTGGCACAATGGGAAATCATTTAGTCATTTATTTTGATTCAATCACACACTCTATTGCCATACACTAGTGCAACAAATGGGTGAAATTCCACAGCTCAGAATATTCCTCAAAATGTTCTCTCCTGTCAGTTTTAGTCATTGTTCTACGCACTTTTAGTCTCTCCCGCACACACACACACCAACAGTGAAAGTGATCACATATATTACATATAACCTGTCACATACTAATCTGCTGGCACGGCTGTAATCTTCCCCTCGGAGCTCTGTGCTGCTGAACCTCAGTCCTGTAGTCCCAGTAAATGCTCTCCTGACTTTCTCATACCTGCTCAGTTGCATAACTCCCCAAGTGTGTGTGTGTGTGTGTCTGTGTGTATAGTTTAATTGTGGTTTGTGCTAATAGACAATGTTCCAACCTTTGACCCGTAGCGGCCGTGGGCCAATAACACTGTGTTAACTGTGTCTGGAAGAGAAATCCCGTGTTGGCTGTGGTCTTCTCCTGCAGACTGTTGCCTTGTTTGAATATGAGTACAATGCATTCTTTCCTCCACGTGTGTACAGCAAAAACAGCAGTGCTTTGTTTGCTTAATAGTTATTCACTGTCAGTGAGGAGGATCCAAGCAGAAGTTTAAATGAGGTGCATTTGCCCATATTGGAGCAAGGCTTGTGCTTCTGTTGTTTTTTGACCTGCTGGTTGATGCCACTAATTAGACAAGGAGATTGCGTGGAGTTTTACACAAAGGTGAACAAATCTACAACATGCACGTGTGTGTGTGTGTGTGTGTGTGTGTGCGCGCGTGTGTGCGTACGCGCGCTTGCGCATTGGGGCAGAACTCCACTGCGTTTAAGAATAGTTATTAAATAAGAAGATCTAGACCTGTAGGAAGGGGAAAGGTAATGCAATCAAACAAAATGAGCTTGACATGGCGAGGTGGGGGTTCGAGTGACTCGGTGGAGTCATAAAGAATTATTTCCACTCTTCTCTGTGATGGTCCCTTCCAGTGATGATGTGGCATTTTTCACTCTCCTGGCTCTTTTTCCCACCACGACAACATTGTGTGTGCCTCTTTTTCCTCTTACTCTCATTCTATACCCTTTATTTTGGAGGGTTCATGGAGGTAGGGCCGCACTTTGTCGGGAAAATTAGTTTAATGGACGAATATTAGAAAAAGTCCTGATTCGCACTTCAATGGTAGCTGCACTTTGAAATGTAAAACTCTCAATGCTCGCAAGTAATTGGGCCGAATGGTGTAAACAAGTGTTGTTTACAGGAAGCAACTGAAACATCTTTTAAGAAGAAGCCATTATCTGTGAATGGCGCGTATCTCTCGGTGATCAGTAGCAGCTTTGATAATGGGATGAACTACTTCTGTGTGCTGTTGTTAAACAATGGCTATAAAGGTAGTTGTAGATTATCTGAAGAAACGGTGATTCTTTTTTCCATTTCTGTGCACCACTTGTTCTGTCTTCTCTTGTTTCTGTTTCTTATTATTACCTATTTCTGTCATCCGACACATCTCACAACTGCTCTCTGTAGGTGGTTCTTCCTCCCTATCACAGTGCTCCTGCCCTCTTTTGATTTTCTCCTCAATTTTCTTTCTCCCTAATCACTCCCCCCCACCCCCCTCCTCTCCCACCTATGCTCTGTGCATTGTTTTCCCCCCTGTGATGTCTGCGCACTCCCTCCTGCATTATTTCCACCCCCTCTACGTCCTTTCCCTCGGTCTTGTGGAAGTTGAGCCCTTTGTGGGGACGCCACGCCGAAGACCCCTCTCCTTCTGCCCCTGCTGGTCCCCTGAAGGTAACGTAGCCCCGCCGCCTCGTCTGACGGTTGTGGGGAGGTACCATGACCACCGCGCGGATCTTTGAAACGGGGGCAGCCCACATGATCCCCTTCCCGTTCTCCCCACCTCTGCTGCTCCTCCTCTTCCTGTATGTGTGATCGTGTTCGTATTGAGGCGATTGATTTTTCTTATCGTATGTTTATATTGTATGTAGTGTTTATGTAGTATACACATCCAACTGTACTAAAATAATAGTAATATAATAAAACACAATCGCAAAGAAGATTTTTTCTACCTCCGTCCAGCTGGATTCACTTAAATGGGAAAAACACTCTGCTGTGTTGTGTCTGATAAACAGCATGTGGTCCGTTTTCTGTTTAGCTAAAATGAATCTGGAGGCTGCATGGTCCTTTTAAAGGGAATTTCCCATTTAAAAAAAAAAAAAGGTTAAATGCATTCATGTACTCCTAAAATTATTAAAACCATGGCCCTGCACGTGTGAGACACAGTTAGGCTCCGGGCAACAATGTGGTTCAAGGAGTGAGAAATCTGCACGGTGTGATGATCTGGTATAAATATTCAAGCCTCACCGTCCTAAAAAAATAATGGCTCGTACCGTTCCAGTATCTAACACCTGTTGCTGCATTTTGCCTGAGCTTCTAATCCGCGTACATTGCTTTGTTTTGTTCCTTTGTTGTTGTTTGCGGCCTTGTACGGGCGTCTCTCCTTTGGTGTTGGGAGCGTTGGGACGAGGGCTCGGAGATGGTGGGGGAAAAAGTCAAAATAGTTCAAGAGACACAGAATATAATCTATTTGTAAAATAGGTTTCCCGAAAACCCGCGCGCTGCATCCCTCTCCAGCGGGAGCAGCTCTTCTCCGCTTCGCTCCTGCCCGTCCCTTGTCTGCTAATTAGCGGAAGCGAGCCGCGGCGTTCCTCCTCTCCTCGGTCTGAGCGCGCAGCGCTGCACCGCGGTTTGCCGTCCGCTGTTACATTGAAGCGGCTTGGCTCCGTCGGAGGGTTGTCACGTAGACCGGACCGCTCTGCTCTCTGACTGGATGTGCCAATTATGAAAACCGCAACGATAACGCTCTCCCATAATTAAAGCGATCTGCATGAATGGGGTGTAAAAGGATTTCAATTTTTCCTGGTGTGTGATTCTTTGCTACCAGTCGGTGTGTTTTCACTTACTAACCACAAAAAAGTAGGTATTTTGCAGTCCGAACTGGGTGACGCAATCTGTCAACCTTGTTAATACCTCTCCATCTGTTTGTGCGTGTGGTTTGTGCGTGTGCGTGTGTGCACTTACCAGAGTTGGGACCTGTGTGTGTAGCTCCACGCCATCTTCTGTGCACCACCTCTAAGGATTGTACGACCGTCGAGTCGATCCTTCCCCCCTCGGCCTCCCTGAGCGAGGACATCCTGGCTCGGCCTGTGGTGCCGTTGCCCGTGTCGGTCCTCGCGCCTGCGTGACATTAGTGTCGTCTCCCAGCCGCCGGGTGCCTTACTCCCACTCTGTGCTTCCTCCTCCCCTGCAGGCATGGGCAAGAAGGACGACCCCAAGCTGATGCAAGAGTGGTTCAAGCTGGTGCAGGAGAAGAATGCCCTGGTCCGCTATGAGTCCGAACTCATGATATTGTAAGTACATTTCTCCAATGTTGAGACAGACTGATCGATGAGTGAGTTGTCAAAGTTTTTTTTTTTTTTTTTTTTTCCAAAGCTGTATGTTATTGGTGGCCACTGTTGTAGTAACCGGGCACAGTCTTCTGTGTTTTATGAGGATATCAAAAGTATGCAGCCGTTTGTTAACTTTGATCACTATGGTCAAACTAACCTGTACCGTATCAGATGTCATTGTTCATCCCATTCATGTTAAGTCATGAGGATTGATTCGCGGGATCGTCTGCAAAGCGAATAACTTGAACAATGGTGTCATCCTAAAAAAAATGCAATGCATGCTATAAACGTGATGAGGATATAATGCTCCATCATTTAAATACATTGCAATTCTAACCTAAACAGTGCAAACAGAGAGGATGATATACTGTCTTTTATTTTTCTTATTCTTCTTATTATTATTATTATTACATGATGAGATTGTTCGCCTTAATAACGTGATACTCATTGTTCCCAATCACAACATATGTGATCATGATTGCAATTCAATAGAAAAACACCGTCATCACTCTGACAAGTGATTAAATCAACCAAACGGCAGACATTTTTTAAAGCGGATGATTCATTTCGCTCATTTTGTTCTATCCGTCCCCAAGTGCCAGAGAGTTGGAGCTGGAGGACCGACAGAGCCGACTGCAGCAGGAGCTCAGGGAGCGGATGGCCGTGGAAGGTGAACGCAGGCGTGTTGACTAACGACTGCTGAGTGGAGTATTTAGACCCGCGTAATGTTTTCTTGCCGTCTTTAACCCCTCGTTCCTCCCCGTCCACGTTTCTCAGACAACCTGAAAACGGAGAAGGAGCTCGGTCAGGAGAAGCAGATCTTGAACGAGATGCTGGAGGTGGTGGAGCAGCGGGACGCGCTGGTGGCCCTCCTGGATGAGCAGAGGCTTCGGGAGAAGGAGGAGGACAAGGATCTGGAGGGCGTCATGCTCTCCAAAGGCTTCAACCTCAACTGGGTTTGAGAGGAGTGAAATAATTTCATCCAGCTCATCAGGTCCTGGGGGGGGGGCTTGTGATAGAGGTTCTCTGAACACCTGCAGCAGTGAACGCGGGTCATGGTTCCCCCTCACGCTCGCATACATGGACGCTGCGCTCCGCCTCTGGAACCGACGCAGTCCGCGATGTTTACCCAAAGCGGTCCCAGTTAATCACTTTGCTTTTCCTCCCTGGAGAGGCGAGCACGTTCACAGCTTTATCGTCCCAGCCTTGAGGTGGATCCTCTCCAACGCAGAGGGGCTTTTAAAGAGACTTGTTCCATTCTCGGTTATCTAAAAGGGAAGAATGCAGTTCGGTCCTGCTGATGTAAAGAATTGTGTTTTTGTGTATAGAACAAGTTGCATTTTTCGGGCGTATGAGGGTCCATTATTTTTCTGGGGGGGAAAAAGGGGACGGCTGCAGAGGTGTGTTTTTAACTGCTGGAGTGATCTCAGATTATCGTTCTGACTGTGGGACAAACATCCTCTGCTGAAGCTGCCTTTCTATCCAGTGACAAACTGACTTCTGCATCCTTACGATACACAACACACATTTACCCATCGGGGAGTAATAAAATATCATCTTATGAACCATAAATACACCACGAAAGGCTCAGTTCTTCCCCCTCACGGTTTTGTTTTCGCGAGTCAACACTAAAACTCCATTTAACATGGCCATGGTTTTTCTATGTATTTATTACCTCTGTTTGCTTTTAACAGATAATCATTTTAGTTGTGTCTGCGTTCACAGGAGAGTGCCCTGAATCCCCCCCCCCCGTGCATGATAAAGAATCACCCGTAAGCCATTGCATGTCAGGAATGAAGGCTGCAGGCACACAGAATGACTTTACCGTGTCTTTTTACATGGAGGACATATAATGCTATGCTGCTTACACATTTCACGTGACTGGATAATGATGAGTCTCTCCTTTGACATGTTCACTGTTCACTCTATATCACACTGACCGCTGACGTTTACAACTAATGGTCCATCGCGGCGATTGGACCTTTACGATTCCTACAATGGTAAACCGTAGCGGCGTAAAAACAAACCGTTCAATGGATTTACCTTTTTTGAAGGAACCGTGTCCCCGAGTTCAGATTGTGTTTCCCCACCGTGTGCGTCAGCGTTGGAATGTCGTGAATATAGCCGATGTCACTGTTAATGGGAGATCAGCGTGGGTCACATTACTCGTTTCGCGCCACAGGGCTTTCTCTGCTGGTTTTATATTCTGCAGTATGTGACGAGTGCGCCACACACCACTTTTATCATCAAACAGCAGTGTTAATACTTTATCCTTGAACAAGTTGCCTTTTGGATTTTCATTCTTTATAGTGATGCTTTGTTTTATTTTTCTGAATTGACTTGCTTTTTGACGTAGTCACATGTGTGTGTGTGTGTGTGTGTATCCCACTGGAACTCGAGATTTCTACTTGTCTTTTATTTTTTTTCAAATACTTTTGTACAGCGGGTCCCCAAACAGATGGATGAATTTAAATGGGGCCGCTGAAGAAAAGCAAAGTGCTTCACGAGCAACTGGCAGCAAGCAGGAACATTACGGTTCACCTGATGGTTATTCAAATCTAACCGCCTTTTTCACAAACGCAGGTGGTCACCGTTTTACAGCACAGAAACACGAGAGGCTATATTTATGACTTGGTATTACATGTGAATAAAACAAAGTGATATCATTTCAAGGGTTGTTGCTTTAGATGACGTGTGACAAGTTTGACTCGATTGTATTGATATTTATTAACGTGTGCAAACTGTATCATATGTAAAGAAGATGAATCCTAATTTTTAAACTGTTCAGTTGAGTTATGACTTGTAATGTAAGTGCTTCATGTAGCTAAATGCATAGGGGTGTTGGATGTATGCTGAAAATGGCAATAAAACAATGCAGTTGTTCTTTTAAAAGGCTCTCTTTACATCCCTTATGGCTAAATTCTGTTAATTTCAACAAAGAATGTGATGTATGTACTTCAGCAATGAGATTAATAGTAAACCCAAATGTGTATAGGTGGATTTAAGTAAGCATTCAGCGTTAACATGGTTTTTGAAAGTGTTTTCACAATTAGTTGGAAAGAAAGGACTACAGACTTACAAAAAAAAGTATTGAAAACACGACGTATCAATGCAAATAAAACATTTTTAGAAATAATGCAATATCCCTTCAACATTGAAAAAGTAGTTTGACATCAGAAATGGAAGGAAAGTAACAATGAAATGAGCAAAGCTGCAAACAAAAATGTACAATGTAAATGTGTGAGCTGCTCTCTTATGTTAAGCCTCCTGATAAGACAATCATGATGTTCAGGGACGAAGGGGGGAAGGAAGCAACCATCAGAATCCCCTCGGGTCAGGACTGCTGCAGTTTGCACCATTAACGCTGTTAGCATCGTTAGCGCTGTTAGCTGCCCGGTCAGCTGATCTCTGTTTACACCCGTTTCGAGGCAATTGCAAATGCCCCCTTGCACCCGTTTTTTTGCAGTTCTCCTCACTACTACGAACAAAAATGCACAGGTTACAACGTGTATTATTACCGTAACTAAAGTACCGATTGTAATCGATTTGTATTCCATGCACTTATTTTGAAAGCGAGCCACTGGAATTGACTTCCGGTCATGTGTGCGTAAATCTTACGTGACGAAGCTGCAGAGAAGAGTTGACAGAACTTGTTGAACCTTTTGGAAAAGTTAATGCGTCACAAAGATGTTGGCATCGAGTTTCAGAGACTGTAAGGTTGGTGGTTTGCATTATAAACGTCACGCAGTTTAGCGGAGAAAAGAGCGACATTCACTGTAAATCCATGTTTTTAGGAAACTACAACAAACATGGCTTCGTCTTCGGAATAAATGGGGCAAATCTAGTTTACATAAGCTTCACGAGGATTAAATACAATGTAATGTAATGTTGATTGGGCTGGATCGATCTTTCACCGTAAAAAGGTGCAACGCGGCGACATGAAGTCACTGTGTCGGACCCCCTGTGCAGGTGTGAGGGGGGACAGTCCTCACACCTGCAGCCTTGTGCCGTCTCTCCCCCTCTCGCAGGCCTGGAGTGCAGAAGGTCTCCCCCTGTCCACCAGCAGCAATGAGGCTTGCAAACTCTATGACGCCATACTCACTCAGGTAACGCGCACCTGCAGGGAAGATGTCTGCAGACACGTTTACAGTTCGTAACGTGTGTTTTTGTTCGTCTCCTAGTATGTCAAGTGGCAGAATGATGAAAACGTGGGAGGATTTGAAGGAAGCATTTCTGCTATTCAGGCAGCTGACCCCAACTTTGGTAAAGAGATAGCTTATTATTATTTTTCAACCTTTTTCAAACAACATATTAAAAGAGAATACGAAAACTAAGAAGGGATGAAAGTAACCGGCGCTAAATATATCTGCTGCTGAAATAGTCAATAGTAATTCAAAATAACTGTGACCCCAGAGACTTTAAGCAAACATTGCGATAAATAGCATACTTGTTCGGCTAAACAAGCACTTTCTAAAAAGACCTTTGGACACGTCATAAAACGCGAGTGCACGTATTGCACAGTCACACTTCATAAGCACTGAAAACTGCAATGGCCTTGGAGGTGAACCAGTTCCATTAACCCTGGTGTTTTATATTTTGCACAGTGAAATGACTAAATGAATGCACTGAGCCGTAATGCATTTAGTTAGTGGAGACCTTTTGTGTTTCCATGACAGGTCAAAATGTCTGTCGTACCTCTGATATGATGACACCTTTGACATTTAGCGATGACTTACCGTGCTGTCATTTATTTAGCTACGGCATTAACCCGTTGACCTCGAGAAGTAGGTGTCGATCAGTAGCCGTCTCTCAAACAAAGCAGTTGCGTGACCTTTTTAATCAACGCTCTAGATGCCGCCGTTTATCGCCGTGGGTCTGAGCTCTCATCCGCCCTTTTTAAATGTTTCATCGTGGTTCATGCAAATGAGTCAAGCTGCTGTTGTGCAGGTCCAACAGTTATTGAAGCTACGGTGAACCTGCATAGAGAACATTGTTAAGATGCAAAACTAAGCGCATGTCAAACCATAATTGGAATAGTTAACTTTCCAACCACACTAATCTTAAGTGTAGTTGTTGGGCAGTTATTTGTTTAGATAGTTAAACCGTTGTAAATAGAGTAAACAACGGTTTATTCAGATTTATTGTCCATGTCTTTTTGCCCCGTACTGGGTATCGGCCTTTAAAAGCATCAACTAGTCAATATTTGGCTGAATGTCAAAACTTTACTTTCGATATAAAGTGATGTTACTTTAAGTGAAGAGTAAAAAATGTACCAGCAGGCGGTTTTCATCACGTGGACGGGAAAGACCTCTCTGCTCTCCGTTTTTCCCCCGCAGTCATGGGTCATGTGATCAGTACGGGGCTGGAGCTGGTGTCGACGGCGAGCTCCGCTCGTCTGAACCAGCGGTTGGCCGGCGCTGTGAGGCGAACCGTGGAGCTGGCCGACAGCCAGGCCCTCTCCCCCAGAGAGCGGCTCCATGTCACGGCCGTGGAGCACTTCTCCCACGGGTGAGATCCGTGAGCCAAGTGTCCTCGGGAAATAACGCCCCCACCCGAGGGACGCAAAAGAATTCCAACATTTCTTCAGTTCTAATATGGGATCCCAACATTCCTTGTTGTCTTCTACGGGCTTTTAATTAAATAAATTGAATCCTACCCTTTACATGTAAAAAAACATTATTTCGAAGTAATCCCTTGAATAATGCATATCAACATAGTGTTTGTTACTTGTCTTTGAGATAAAGTATTGCACTGTGATTGGTATATTAATTAATTAGAACTACATATTCATCACTAATCATCAATTCAACAACAAGGGGGTTATCAGGACAGCAGACACTTCACTCTTTCTCTAGGAACTTAAACTGTAGCAAATTCTACATCCAGTTTCTTTATTATGGAATATATTTGCTGAAATAGATATATTCCTGACATTAAGTTACTTTTTTTACCCCCCGTATATCAAACAAATGGCAGTATAATAATCCTACCAAAAGGTACGTATTCACTGATCTTAATGTAACGTGCATTAAAGAGAACGCTACAGTGCAGTCGGGTCCAAATTAAAAATGTTTTTTTAATGACTACAAGAGCGTTTGCAAGTTTCTCTTTTTTTCTGTTCCCGTGTGATCAGTCGTATGCAAATTGCAGACACAGTACGGCAAGTCATGTTCCGATTCTATCTGGAGTGTCTTATTTCCCCACGGCGCCGTATTATAAACTGTAATTACGTGGATGCCATCTTGAATTCTGTTTCTTAATTGTAGAGGATGCAGAGGATTTTTTTTTTAAGGGCTCCGTCTAATCTCAGTTCAGCACAAAGTATATTGACACCTTTTTTGCCTTTGTCCTCCATTAATGTCTTTTTCACAGTGACTCGTGTTTCTTGCAGACGATTCTCAAAGGCCTGCGACGTATGGGAAGACATTCTGGTGGATCACCCCACCGATATGCTGGCTCTCAAGTTCTCTCATGACGGCTACTTCTACACGGGGGCCAAAGCCCAGCTGAGGGATTCCGTGGCCCGGGTGCTGCCCTACTGGAAACCACACATGCCTTTCTTCAGGTGCAAACACCGCAAACATTACATACATGCTGAATGCATGAACACAAGCATTGATTGTAAAGACAATTTGGCTTCTTGATTATTCTTATTGGGAGCCTTCACAGGAACAAACAAATGGTGTCTTTAAAATGGATGTGTAACCAAATAACAGTTTTACATATCAAGGCTAAGATATGTTGATATACTATTAATTATGACAAACTATACTAAGACAAATTATACTATGAATGTCATACTCAGTTGAGAATGTTGTACGACATGTTACGTTTTATGGCATATAGTGCTACTGTTATATTCATGAAGCTTGTCATTACATACTTTGCCATGAATTTTTAACGACATTTGTTACATTCTTTTATGACATTTGAAAGGAAATACAATAACTTTGTTATTATTATTATGTTTTTTTTTTTTAATGGTAGTTTCTGGAGTAGTTTATCAAATACATGCACATTCTTTATAAAGAAACAGTACATTAGTGTATTAGGCATTCATGTAAGCTCAAACTACAAATTGTTTTTGATGAGAAAAAGGCATCAGTGAAAGAAATAAAATATGCAGTTTTGACGCGCACCAATAAAGATGAAAGTCACTCAGCACATGGAAACAGAGACAGAGACTTAAAGCAAGTAAACGAACGTTCTCTTCTACCTCTTATCTAGTGACACATAGTCGAAGTCTATACTGTAGCTGTCAGATCGAATAAAATCCAAATCATATTTAAACATTTAAGGGAGACGTTGATGCCTCCCAACAAACCGATATCTTTAAGCCCGACAAATGAATAAGCCGTCAGAGCCGTGCCACGGATAGATTAAAGCCCATGTTCCTACTTAGCAGTAATTTAAAAGCCGTTATCAGCATCGTCAAACGCCGGCACTGATGCAACAAGTGTGTGTGTGTGTGTGTGTTTGCTTCCTTAGCTACCTGAAGGGAATGTATTCCTTTGGTCTCATGGAGACACACTTCTACGACCAGGCTCTGAAAGTAGCCATGGAGGTGAGATTTTCTTTTCCATCCCGGTCCGCTGTAAACACTGTTGTCATTGTTGTAGCTCGGGGGTCCAGGCCCCCCTTTTTTTTTGTGTCACTTCGATTCGGGGAAAAAAGTAATTTGCTGTCGCACATGAATAATGCGCAATGCATACAAAGTGGTTGTGTCACACGACGCTCCTCAAAACAGGTTGAGGAACATCAAGTCATTTATTTTGCTTTGTGTTTCGCCCCGGCGTAAGAAAACAGCGCTTGTTTATGTATTTGTGTTGCTTCTCCTTCAAAACGATTAAAGCTTTTTGGTGCAGGGCCTCGCCATGACTCCGGAGGACGCTTGGTCCGTTCACTCTGTGGCCCATGTTTATGAGATGAAAGCCGAGGTGGACAAAGGCTTGAAATTCATGGAAAGTAGAGAGAAGGACTGGCAGGTACACATTCTATGCTGCTATTCGTATGCTAAGTGTGTGTGTTTTTTTTTTTTTGTTTTTTTTTAAACATTCTTTTTCAATTAAATCATTTAACATCCTTTTTTCACAAACTAAAAGAGAAGACGTTGTCATTCATTTTCAGGCGTCTGACGTGCTGGCCAGTCATAACTATTGGCATTGGGCTCTATACTTCATCGAGAAGGTAAATATTATAATGAGTTTTCTCATCCAAGCGAATAGTCGGAGGTGAGCGTGTTTGTGGAGCCTGTATTTATGATATGCTTTCCCCCCCCGGGTAATATGAAGTTGATTATATTGCGAGATTAATTTGTGTTTGCGCCTGTGCCACACTATCTCTCAGCCCCGCTTGTCTCTCAAGTCTGGAGTTTAACATATTAACCTTTTCCCTGCCTCCACAGGGGCAATACGAAGCCGCTCTGCAGATATACGATTCTCAGGTTGGTTTTGCATCCAAAATGTAACGACAGATTTGTCCGAGTGCGTTCAAGAGCCACGCGCGCACCGACCCACAGGGGATCCAGACCAGACGCAATGTGTGGCGCTCGTTGTGAGTCAAGAAGGAAGCGCGTGTGCAAATGGAAGTCAAATCCACACGATGACAAATTGCTCGTGTCAAATGCCAGAGCTGATTACTTTTTCATTCACGCTATAAATAGCAAAGTCCGGAACAGTTCACAGTGTTACCCAACATTGCCGTGCGTTCCGACGCAACAGAAATTCTAACACAAAGTTTGATATTCATGAATGTTTAACCGCTCCCATCAGTGGAGTACAACAAGACATGAACGAGACCTTTCTTTTAAAAATGCATAACTGTGCTGAATGTCATTGCGTGGATGCAGTTACGCGTTACGTCCTTCTCTGTGCAGGGTGAATAGCAAACGTTTGTCCTGCGTTCAGGTAATCAGACGCTGCAAAGCAACAGGATCTATGTTGGACACCGTGGACGCCAGTTCAATGCTCTGCAGACTGGAAATGGAGGGTAAGCTGCAGAGCGGCGTGGTCATCCACGACCTATCGTTGTTAATGTTAAAGGAATTCCTATTCGCACCTGCTCCGTGAAAAAAATACAATATCTTGTAGGCCGATCATCAGGGTGCTGTTGAGATTCTAGAAATCTGCAGAATGACACCGGTTGGCCTAATGGAGGCGTTGCAACATTACTCTAATGTGTTGCTTATTGGCAGACGGGTAATTTAACACCGTATGCCTCTCGAGCAAAACAGCTACTCGTGTGTGAAAATCGCAGTTATTTTCCCCTATTTGACCATATTTTCTTAGCCTCTTCCAACTGAAATTTTCAAAATTTGTCTTTCTAGCCTCCAGAGCAATATGTGTGTGTTTGTCCCGGTGCAGGTGTGTGCGTGAAGGACCGTTGGCAGGAGGTGCTCCAGGTGACGCGCCCGCACACCGACGACCACGTGACCCTGTTTAACGACGTCCACTTCCTCATGGCGTCGCTGGGAGCCAAAGACGGCGGCACCTCTCGGCGGCTGCTGGAGGGCCTCCAGGAATTGGCCAAGTAAAGCACCATGTCCTCTGCTCGGCCCCCCTCCCTCCCCCTCAGTCTGTCAGCCTTACGTAAGAGCCTCACAGGCCTCATGCAAAGCGGAGACCGAAGCGAGGCTGAGCGTAGGCTGGCGAGATGTAGAGAGCGTGTGCGGTCAGGAAGGGAACTCCGAGTCCTCCCTCTGCAGCAGATGCAGCAGCTGTGGAGAGGCGGGTACGACGCGTCCCGGCGTCCCGACCGCCCTGCGCTCTCTATTTAGTCCGCCGAGCAGCCCGCAGAAAAGCTGCCACTTAAAATTCTTCCTCTCATTTTGCAGAGTTTATGTATTATAAAGTCACAATAGTGGGAAAACCGGTCCCTCCGTGGGGAGGGGGGGGGGGGGGGGGCTCTTAAAGTAAGAAACGGGAGACATGAGGACATTTGAGTTTTGCATTTATTTTTGCTTATTTCAAGGAATACACTGGGCAACATAATCCACATTTATGCCATTAAGTCCACATAGTGTGGACTCACAGCTAAGTGAGTCCTACTCGGACATTCAGGTTTTTAGTCAAGTAGAGTCATGCTTTAATGCCCCTGTCTGCCTGTAAAGGGAGTAAAAGAACATGTAGTTGTTATATAGATTTTGTTAAGCTAATGTTTTTTTTAGTGTATGAGATTACGTGTTGGAAAGGAATATTCATTGCTTTCATTTCATTAAAAGTTTCCTCTGTAAATATGCTACAAAGTTACCTCAAGTTTCCATTTTTCTTGTAAGGCAGTTTGTGAAGTCTTTTTGAAGTTTCTCTCAAACTTAAGGATTAAAGTATTACAAAGAAAATCCCTCCCAACTTTACCCAAGAAAATGTTTCCCTCGCCCTCCAGCAGCTTGTAAACCTCCCAGATGTACCAGTAAATATCCTGCCTCTTCCCCCCCCACAGAGAGCCGGGGGACAATCAACAGCATCACTTGGCAGCGTCTCTGGGTGTATCAATGGTCGAGGCCATGACGGAGTACGACCAGGGCAACTACAACCGCACCGTGGAATTACTGTACCCTCTACGCTATCGCCTGGTAGAAATGGGCGGGAGTGATGCGCAGGTACGCTCCCTGAAACGCAATCCAAATCCATTCCCCCGAGATGACGTCGTAGTAGTTGTCCGCCGTGGTTCTGAAGCTCTGCATTAGCAGCCGCATCCGTTCAGTCACCGAAGCGGCTGCGTGGTGTGAGAATGTGGCGCCCTGACTCATGAGTAATTCATCTGTGATGCATTTTATGTTCCCCAGGTGAAAAAGTGTAAATGTAGTATAAAGTACAACGCAAAAGGAATAGAAAGACACTCCACAGTGTGGAGAAGGGTTTGTCCGCTAACGGTTTCGCCTGCTGTTTTTTTTTCAGAGGGACGTCTTCATCAGCTGGTCATTCATGCGGCATAAAATCGGAGACAGCACATCAGAAAATGGGAGGTATGCACGACACGGCTTTCCTGCCAATCCGAAGGCTTCGATTTCCACCTTTTCACGTTTTATAGAAAGAAAAAAAAAGAAAATATGTAATTCACCTTTTTGAAGCACTGGATTTCACCACGAAACACAGCCTAGTCGCTGTCCACGTCCACTCAGGTTTTCATCAGTCCCTGTGTTTCCAGAACGCTAGCTTAATGCTCCCATTATGCAACCCACATCTCCTTGTCTGCACACTGTGTTAGACCTTCATTATTGATCGGGTTTGGCCGCTCGGCTTGTCTGTGTAAATCTGTTTAAAACCTCGTACTGTTCCGTGTTGTGTTGAATTCCTGCAGATGTCTCGTACTTGAGCGCGATGCCATGAGGCCGAACTCCCCTCTGACGGGTCGTCTGATGCAGAGAGCTTTGGCTCTTCACGACTAGACAAGCTGCTCCGGGGAGTTCTCGTGCTAATGACGTCGTCGCCCCAATCCCGATGGGCCAGAGCTTCCTTTTACTTTGCATCCAAAACTTTCCACTGCAACCCTTTTTAAATGTAGACATTAGTGCTCTTTTAGTTGCAGACCTTCTGAGCTTTTGTACGTGGAGAAATGATACCACCTGGCATTTAAATATACATTCTTTGGAGTAAAGTCGATCCTAAAGTCAATGTCTAATAACGATACACATTGAATTTAGCTTGTGATGACACTGAATAACACAATGAGGTGCACTACACTTCAGACACGTTCACATCCAAAATGTATTCAATGTCGCAGTGATACAGTGGCAATAAAAAAAAAAGATGCCCTTGCACAAGCACTGCGAGTTCTTTTCTTCCTGTCTTTCCCGGCGCCGGCCCGCGCTCACAACACGGAGGTAATCTCATCTTGGATCTGAGAGACCAGGATGTGGGACAGCACGATGCCTGCAATCTAGAGGACAGTAGCAGCCACTTTAGATCGCGGAACACACTCTGACTGTACACTTTGCAGAGCGCCTCAAGGTCCTGCGTGCGCATTTTGCACCGGAATCATTTTAAAAAATGAGACTTGAATGTTCTGTGTCACATGTACTCACTGTAAAGTCATATTAACTGAATGGACACGTTCATTTATGGCAGTTTGATTTGGTATAGTTAAGTCAAGATGTTTCAGACCAGAAATAGAACTTCATAATCAAATGTCTCGCAGATCGAAGCCAAACTGCAATACTAGTGCAATTGTTTTGACAGGACTCATGGGTAATTCACATGCTTCGCTCTTAGCAGAATCTCCGGGGACCCAATCAGACAGATATGAAAGCAAGAAACATTAGGCAAAAGATTCAGTGGCAAAGCAGCGTTCTGTAGGAGGATGCGACGTGACAGTAGCTGAATCCATTTGATAAGTAAGCGTACTAATTATTTAGGAGGCAGCAAGTGCTGGTTTGATTTCACGGCCAATCTTAACATTTTGACCTGACTCATCAACAGTTCTTGGTGGTGCATTAGAGGTGCGTGGAGCTTGCTGAGTAGGAGGGCGGAATCACTACACTTCTTTCTCGGGCCCCCGCCGCTTACATTGTCGCATGCAGACTTCTACCTCGCCGGCAGATCAACCTGAGCTTCCTGTCTGGGACAATGCGATAAAAGAATAATGTGCAGTTAAAAATTAATCGTGCATAGTTATTGCTGTCTAGGTATAAACCCCAGTTTAAATCATTTTCCATCCCAGTGGCCTCACACTGACCCCACGCCCGGTTGGTTTCCTCTGGAATAAGAATAGCTTTTTTTCTTTCTGTGCAACTACAGCTTAATTCAATGTGAGGCGATCTGCACCTGTGCTGTGTGTGTTAAAGAAAGTTGCTGGGGCCCTGATTGATGAAGTGTTACCCGGGCTACTTTTTTAGCCCTGTCCAAATCCACCGTGGAGGGAGAAGGGCTCAATAAGTTGATTCCTACAAACTCAATTCCAGCGAGTCTCCAGTTGCCTCCCAGTATTGATGTGTGTATTGAGTGTTATTTCGACGACGCCAGAGACATTTTCTCGGGCCAGAATTGTCTGCGGTTACCAGTGGGAGAGGACTGTTGTAGGTGTGCGCGTGGGCTGAATTAAGCAAAGCGGTGAGTGGGGTTACCTGAGGCAAGGCTGTGCCCAAGGCGAGAGCCCCCACCAGCAAGAGGTGAGACTCGATCCACATGGCCGCTTTGTCCATGCAGCCCGCAGCGTAGATGGACTTGTTCGCCTCCAGGTGGCTCATGGTTTGAACCCCGAAGCCGCACATTGTGTTGATCACAGTCTGTGCACCCGATGGACAACGGTGCAGGCGGAGAGAGAGAGAGAAAACGGGAGTGTTTGTATTGAACCTCTGCGGTACTCAGAAGACACTCTCATAAGCTGCTTTTCACATCTCTCCTGTTAAATTGCAGAGGTCAAAGGTCATGACCTTTGATGTCTGTCAAACATCGGATGTCTGTTGATTGTAGAGACTGTAGAGGTACTGATACATTCGTGTCCATTTGATGCAACCAGACAGACTAATCAGTCCCTGAAGCAGCCGCGCAGTTACAGGCTATGAACAGCAGATTGCTCTTCTAGTGTTTAGTGGATCGAATCTTCAGTCATGTAGAAAAAGGTTGCTTTGATATGTTTTTCTGTGTAGCATTACGCGTAATCAATAATGTTATGATTGATTCACATGGACTCTTTTGATTACTGCATTCACCTCAAGTACAAGGAATTGTTGTGGCTTGTAAACTGTGCTGCTGGAAGTCGGCCAGGGGCTAGACAAGCATTTAAAATGTATCGTTGTGCGAGAACAGTGTGTGTGTGTATTATATATATATAATCACTCTCACACACACACACACACACACACACACACACACACACACACACACACCGGGCTCCAGCATGCATGCTTATCTGTACACATTTAATGAGTCATGCCTGTGCTGCGTGTTGGTTCCGTGCAGACAGTTTATGAGAAAAGGGCTTTCATTATGACTTTTAAAAAATATATATTACACTATATTATGACTTTCCCAGGTTCAACATGCTATACTATTACTTTTAATTTACTCTTTTTTGACATTCTATACTATGATTTTTAATTTCTTTTTTCACATAGTATGCTTTGACTTTTTAGGAAATGCTTTTGTCAAAAGGTTGTAGAATGAGTTAAAAACAAATTCAACATACTATATACTAGTATTAGTTTATAGTACTACCATAGTACTTTTTCATTTTAACACATTATACTATACATTTTGTATGACTTGTGTCGCTATGACTTTATTCAAGATGCTGAACTACTACATAATATATGGTGTCTTTTTTATGTCTTGACATTCTATACTGTGACTTTAATGACATTTGTCAGCATGACCTTTCGATGACTTTCTTTGACTTTTTAAAATATGCCAAACTATGACTATTGCTAACTAACTAACTAAAGGAATGTAGAATTTCCATACTCGTGTCAAGGGCAGTTCCCAAGTCACGTCCTCTGTAATATTCAGGTTGGGATTTCTTCTGGTTGAATATGGCTTTTTCGCATCCCAACTATTAACCTGATGTTTCCTCACGTCTTCTGCATGGATTCCCACTGCGCTGAAATGTTCTTCAATGGAATGTTTTTCCCTAATTAAATTAGCCTGAGAGGCATGGCCCCACGAACCGGACAAAATAGCAACCTCACGTATTTACATCTTTATCCTTCAAGCAAATCAAGCTAGATGAGTCCAAGGAGCTTCTGAATACATCTGAGACGTGTGCAGTTATTGAGAGGTCTGTGACCGGGAAAACGTTTTTTCAGAGCACTACCAAAGTGTAAAATATCCCACTGCAATGCAAACCTGAAAACAAGCTGCTCTTGTGCCATTTGCACATAATCAGGTAACACATTAGATAACAGGGACGAGCTGGATTTGATGCAGCCTTACTTTGCAAATGAGCCTCATTACCCAAATATCTTATAAATACAGGAGCTGCATCCATTCATGTGTTTCTTTGTTGACCGATGGATCAAACGGGTTGTGCTACATCTTTGGTCGTATAAATGACCACAAGAGTTCGTACTTGTCCCTTACGCTGTGTCCCAGCAGCCTCCAGTGAATAAAGCGACAGCCTCTTCTGTCCGACCAAATCTGAACCTCCGCTCACGATAAAGAAGCAGTGAAAGGTCCATAGCCGCAGACTTTAGCCTGGCTTTAATAACATTATCCGGTGAAAAGCCAGGTGAGACGCAGACGTTCTCCTATTATCAATCGTAGGCAAGACTGACGGAAACGGACGCCCTGTCCTCCTCGCCGTTTTTCTCCTCAGCGGACCCACTTCCCAATCGTCTCGCAATTCCCTGTGGTTTGGAACACGGTAACTTCACGTCCTCCCCCTTTGGCCTAAGGCGTACAGCTGTGGGTGTTGTTGGCTGCAACATGCGACCCAGCGACTGTCCTTGCTACCTCAACGTCTGCGCAGGACCAGGTGGGCCCCGGGGGCCCCGATCACGGCCCGTCTCCACAGAGTTCCCTACCTGGTTCTGTAGGGAAGTTCTGTCTCTTTATTCAGCGGATGCTGCTGAGACACCGCACGAGGCATTAGTGAGAACACACCTTCACACTGCTCTGTAAACTGGCAGGTCAACATAATGTGCCTTTTTATGGCCGTGTTTTAATGACACTTTCAGTTAGTAATCAGTTTGTCCACACACGGTATGTCAAACAAAGACCCCTCACCTCTCCAGGAACAGGAGCGCAGCAGGAGTAAGGCACGGCACAGCGCTCGGAGCTCGGGTTCTCATGCGTACAATTAAAGTACAGGTTCCAAGACCAGTCTGTGTAGTTGTTCCACCCGCAGCATTGGAACTGGGAGAAAAGAAGAGAGACAAAGAGGGAGAGAGAGCCGAGCAGAGTGTATATTTAGAAACGTGGTCTTGCTGTGAACTACATCCTGTGAACAACATCCTGCCAGTCTGGGCTTCTCCCGTGAGGAAACCCGGTCTGTGTGCAGATGGGAGAGGAATATCACATGAGGAGACCCGTGGAGTACAGGAAGCGTCGGTAACGTGTGGAAATCCCCCAGCAAGGCCAAAACAACAAACGTAAGCGGCTTCGTGGTCCTTTTTCGGTGGTTCCGTAAAGGTTAAGTGCTCAGGAATATGCAATAAACGTGGAATTGACCACAGCACCTCTTTCTGGATGTGATCCATCAGGTTCTGCAGATCCAGGTCGTCCCTGTAGTGAACGACGGCTTTCTTCACAAACTTTCCCAGAGCATCCCGGGTCTAAGGGAAGGCACATGGGAGACAATGGGATTTTTAGGCCGTGAACGCTATGATGTGTTAAGTCTTTCCGTGAAGGTTGTGTGTTCACGCATCCGCTGATGTAAACAATAAACATGAATTATACCAATATATGTATGAGGCAGACACATCACATCCTCTTTTGTGCGTTGTGTGAGCCTCCTGTGGGAAATGTCTCGGGAAATACGGCAGCAGAGCAGAAGGTGCTGCAGCGTGACGGCCGGAAGGAAATATAATGATAATAGGAAAATTATCCACGGCTTTCAGACCAATGTACAAGATGCAAACAAAATACAGAGCACACGCAGGTTTTGCCTACCGAAGATAACTGGTTGGATTTCACAATTTGTCATAAAATTTCACCTCCTTTTTGTTTGAATACATAATGCCCGTATAAAAATATTAATTAAATGCATTGATTGGTTTGAATAATCTATAATGAGGATTTAAAACTAAATGAATTATAATTGTGTGTTCCCTTATTATATTATTTTCATTTTATTTAGTCGTTCCCTTCTCATGAATAAGCAGTGTTAAAAAAAAACACACTACAACGAGGGCCGTGGTTGTACAGACTCGAGTTCAGATGTAATAGCCAATAGGAGCGTTTGCTAATGTGCCACTGAACTTTAAAATTCCATTAAGTCTGCAATGATCTTCTGAAAGCAGTTTGCCGGAAGGCTCTGAACGCTTCTTGTTACATAACGAACGGGTTACGCCGATAAATACTGTGAGCTGTATCGAAATAGACCGAAAATCTCTGACTACTTTAACTAAATTGTGGGAGTATTTTTACAGCAACCCCCCCAACGTGGTGCAGAGTGCTCGTGGGCCGCGGTTCCCACCGTCACACCTCCCCGTGTCATTAGTGGCACAGTCTCCTTCAAGGGATCTGTTGAAATGGAACATTTGGTTCCACTTTGAAGTGCCGGAGCATTTGAATCATTTAGCGAGGAGAGGATGCTGGGAGGCTTGTTAAACTGCTCTGTTTAGCAGCACGCAGTCCAGAGGCTGACAGGGAACGCAGGGGAGAGGCGAGGTATCATCAGGCGGCCCGGCGCGCACTGGTGCCAGGGTACGTTGCCAGCGGTTGGGTCTGTTTTTATTCTCAGTGGAGCGCTAAGAAGATGTTACTGTAAAGGAGATAAGTTGATTTAAGAGGGAGGAGGCCCTTTGCTTTTTTGTAGCGTGGGTATATTTTTTTTATACAACGGAATTTTTTTGTCAAATTATGTAGATTATATATGTATAATTGATCCTCTTGATGTTCTAAAACTCACATGAAACCATCTGAGAATCCGATATTTCCATATATGGCCCAATTTGCACTAAATACAAATCTGTAAATTGTGCTTTTTATCTGTAAAATAAAGCGCCCGGTAGTTAAAAAGGAGATCCTCTGAGAGGCTTTTGAAATGTCCCAATCTCAGAGCTGGACCCTTTGAGGATTTTGCGGCAAAATACATTTTGCAAATGAGACACAACTAAATGTCAGTATTTAGGACACAGCTTTAGTATTTTCTAGTACACACACACACACACACACACACACACACACGAATATGTACAGGACCAGTAAAAAGTCTCATTCCATGAGAAGCATTGATACCAGAGTCGTTATCGATTCTCCTCTTTGGTGAGATTCTTTGTCAATTCCCTTATTTAGAAAAAGTAAGCCTACACCAGGAGCCTCGTCTCGAGTACACTGCTCTATATTTGCAGTATATTTAGCAGTCAGGTCAGTTTACGTCACTGCACCTTGAGATAATTAAGATGCATGGCATCTTAAAATCTACAAAACAAACCAGAGCCTTGTAGACGATACAAAACACTAATTTCCTCTGAAGTAACTTTCTCACGCAAAAACTCAATGTGTTGTTACGTTTGATACGTTGTCATTTCCAAATGCACAGATGTTTTTTATTGGTTGGTGTACGAGTCCAGTGTGAGAGCTGTCAGACGAGTACCTGCTCAGAGTAGAAGAAGCCCAGAACTGCGATGGCCAGCTGAGTGAGGAAGACCAATGTGAGGCTGAGGGAGAACTAGAAGGAAGCAACGAAACACATCAATAATAAAACACAGTTTACCTCAGACGAGAATCAAAACTGTCAGATTTGTTGTTTGCACAAAGATGGCTTTGGAATAAACGTAATTTGAGCTTCCATATTGGAAGCAAAGCACAGCGGCAGTATTAGTAATGTTTCTATTACTGTCTTGAGGAGGCGAATGTTCTGTCGGAGCGCTCCGATGCAACCGCAGAAAGTGATGAAGAACATGACCACCCCCACCACAATTAGGATGACAGCCGGGTCGATCAGGAACGTGTTCCGCACTGCGTCTGGCAGAAAGACATGAAAAGCCCCGTTTAACAGTCTATACTCCGCTGTTGCTACCTGTACCTTTTTTCCTCTGCTCTCGTTTCTGCTTTTCAAACCTCTGTTCATTCTAACTAACTAGTTCCCTTCGCCGCTCCTATTCTCCGATTTTATTTTCCAATCCTCCTTTCCCACACCAGCTGCCTTCATTCTTTTAAAATATTAATGCTCTGTTGTGGATTATGCAGAGATAATCAGTTGGGTGAAAAATCCTTTTTCGCTGTCTGATTCGGATTGCAAATTTAATGTGAAAATAATGACACAAGGTGGAATGAGGATAAAGCTCATACTTGGCAACCCGCTAAACATATCAAGCGATTGCTTTTTTTTGATCTGGGTCAACAGGTGTCCCGCTGTAAGAGGTCACGGTATCACAGCAGCGCAGCTCAGGAGATATAAAATGAATGGAGAGGGTTATTGGCAATAAATGGACCTAAAGTGAATATATAACAAACAAAATACACATTCTTGAGCATTAGAAATGTGGAAAAGTGCACAATGTGCACATGAATATGTAAAAAGTGTGCGATGTTTGTACCTGTAGCTTTCTGGATTTTAGCATAAACTCCGACGGCAACAATCAACAAGGAGAAAACCTGGAAAAAAGCATATTGAGCAGATTACTAATTCTCTCATTGTGCTTCACATTTAGCAAACATCGAGTCTTTTCAAATGTGCTGCCGAATGCAAGTGGAGATCTAAAGGTCGTGCCCTCGTTGGACATTTTTCAAATGTATCAGCTGATTGTATGGAAGTGGAATAAATCTCCTCTGCTAAATAAAAAAGAAAAGCAATTAACATTATTCACTAAAACTCATGCTATTCCCTTAGAGGTTACCACATCCATCTATTCCCTAATTATCTATTGAAAAACATCTAGACAATGTACGTTTCATTGTTGAAGGTCTATTCTTTAGTTGCACTTCCACCAGGGACCAGGTGTGGTCCGATCAGCATCGATTCTTTCCTCGGGTGCTGAGTGTGCACAGCGTCAGTTTACGTCTCCACCATAAACAGACAGATGGAAGTCAGCGGGGGGGGAAACGACAACAAAACATATGGAACCTGACTTTAATCATCTGAATGTGGAGAAGTCTTTCTGTCACCTTCTGAATTTAAAGCTTCAGTTTTCACATGAAAATGTCTCTGCGTGTCTGTTATTTATCCTCGGTTTGCCGAGCGGGGGACCGAACTATTGTGAGCGGAGAACAGATGCTGTACACACAGTCAGGAGAAAAAAGGTGAGAAAGCGAGAGACGGAGAGAGTGTGAAGAGTCCAGCCCGTCTGACCTGCTCGACGTCGAGAAGACAGAAGAAAACATCCCACGGTTTGAAATGTTGAACACCAGTGAGACGTTGGGAGCCCATAAGGCGCACGCAATGGATGAAGGGAAGAATTCGACTGATTAATCAGGTTTCACTACAACACTGCATTGTCAATTTCTTTTCTTTCCTTGATTTGTTTTTCTCACCTTTGAATAAATCTCTAGAAATTCCAACCTCCAGGTTGACAGGGTCAGCTGAGGACCAAACGCGCTTGTGTCGTTGTGAGTGTTTGCGCACAGCTTGTTAAAACATGGATTTGTTTTGGGTTCCATGAGGAAAAACCTGCATTAGATCTCTGAATTTCATGAGGATCAATGAGGCGTGTATTTATTTGGATTTTCTCGCTATGGAAGAGGAGCAGCTTTTCACATGCGGCCCCATTTCTTCTTCTGTGCTCTGGGAAAGTAAGTTGTTACCGTGAAAAAGGTTTGTTTTTATCTCCTTCACATTTTTTTTTCCAAAAGAATAATTTAAGTTGACAAGACAATAGCTGAGAAAACACAAAAACAAAAACAAAAAAATCGATGATGCACCTTTTCTTTGGAGCTGCTGATTTTTGAAGGGGCAGTTTGTTTGCTTGCTTTTAGAGTCCATCCTCCTTTGTGTAGGCGTGTTTGCACCTGCAGCTCCATTTGTCAGTTTGCAACGGTGTGTGTTTATTTGAATACGGGTGATGGGCGTGCATTTGCAGCACACACACACAGTGAATGTATTCCAGCTCTGTTTTCAGGCTTTTCAAAAGGGATGAATCGGGCTTCTCTCCCGGCGGATTGTGTGCGGAGGTGAAAGCCGGCTGAACTGAGTCGCGAGGACGCGGGGACAAAAGACCTGATGGATTACTGCTGCAGTGTTCACTTCTGAGCCCGGGCCTGATAAACAAAGTCACGGCGGGCCGGGCTGTGTGGCTGCTGATTGCTTCCAAACTCTGCAGGAGTGCGCGGGCCCCCCCCCCCCCCGCTGGGTTTCTGCAGGATTGGGTGAAGAGGCATACAAGAGGAGGTGTAGGCAGCTACACGTGTGATCTGTGCACTTCAAGTAGTAATGAAGAAGTGTCAGAGAGTCTAAAGCGTGTGTCTGCTTGTGTGAATAAAACGAATGTTAGAGGAAAAGGGCCTGATCAGGTGTCTCCTGTCCTCAGTAAAACTAACTACTAGTGGAGCTCATGGTACTTACTCATATTACCGAAGCCCCTTCACAGGAACCAAGGTGTTCATTTGAGTTTTTTCAAATTTTGTCAACACACACAGTACAGTTAAAAACATCAATAATTAGGTTGGTTTAGTTCAATTGCAATTTTATGCTTCAACCAGTTATTAACTAACTAGTGATTAATGCCTAAAGCTAATGGAAAACCATTTTAAATCTGAAGGTTTTCATTTTTCTCAGAATTTAAACATGACTTGGCTGAGTTTCAAATGTTTTGGGTTATGTTTACATTTAATATTTATATATTCCAATTATGTGCATTCACAATGCAACAATAAATTCAACAGTGGCTTTCAAGCACCGGCATTCTGTTCAAATATGGAAACATCCAACTACAGACTACCATTGGGCTTACACAACTGCCCGATTTCTTTATGGTTTAGTATAAGTCAATGCTAAACTAATGAGAATAATACAAGAGTCAACATTTATGATTTATGAGTAATTGCAGTGTCTTTGTTAAAACAGGCAGCAGGAGGGCAGCCGGGTGCTCCTGCTGTTTGCAGCTACGCTTACCATCCGATTTATCTTTGGTCATTTCTTATTTACAAGCTCGTTTTAATTTGCCCCCCCTTTTGCTAGCAGATCTAACATTTTTGGAAAGCTGAAGCTCCCTGATAGCTGTTGCTCACAGATATTCAGGGGGCCCTGGGCCACTGTAACAGCTGTGTTTTTGTCACTACTAATCCATCAACAGCGCAACTCTACTCACCCAAAACACAAAGCTGAAGAAGAACAGAAAATATCTGATCCAGGGGTTGACGAAGGAGAAATCCTTAGCTCGGTTCAGACCCCGTTTCCTGTCCATCGTTTGCAGGTGTTTCTACATTAAAGGTTAACTTCAAATATGTCCTCAGATCGGGTCTCACCCGGCAGACACTCTGCAACCACGTGCATCTGTGAAGAGGGGGTTGCGAGGGTGTCAGGCAAAAGTGTGGGGGGGGGGGCACGGGTATGTGGCGCTGCCCTGCCATGCTGGTGGGGCCCAGAACAGTCTGTGCAGGCAGGATGATCAGATTACAGAGGAAAGATCTCTGGCCGAGTGCAGCTGAATGGCGTCAGACCTTCCTTCATGCAGGTCACTCGATCTGTGCTGCTTTCCCTGCTTGTGTAAAAAGGCCTACATGCATATCGCCCACTTGTTCCAATGTTGTCGCTCAGTGCCTCACCGGCTTGCGTTCTTGTTACGAAATTACAGATGCTCTCCTACGAAGGCTGCAGTGGAATCCTGGCTGACAAAAAGGACAACGTCGTCTCATGTAGGTAAACGACATCTGGCACACGTTGTGTCGGTTTACGCTGCACAGCGAGTCTGTTGGATTTCAGCGCAGACATCACTCAAATTAACAATCAAGGTGCGATGGCGTCAGGCCACCGTTGGGTAACGAGCTTTAGATGTAAAAACAAATTGATAATCGACGGGCTAACGTGGATTATCTGTCAGACTGGTGGCAGATTATCTGAGGACAGAACAGGTTTTTGTGAATGTATGAAGAAGACGCCACTGGCTCTCCCGTAACTACAGCTGAAAACTCAGACATGTCCCCCGAACTGTCCCTGGAGACAGAATACTGTGTGTGTATTTTTAATCATTACATCCAATGTTTTCTGTGCAATGACAGAAGGACATGAGGTCCCCTCAGGTAGCAGAGTACATTAAGGACATTGATCTCTTTCTCAGAAAAGACAGAATCATAATAATGATAAATAAATAATAAAGTTTCCCCTTACTTATGCACTTTGCTTTGGCCACCGCTGCACTGAACACGGTTGGTTTATCCCGGCATGAAGACGAGATCTTGAGCAGAAAGCGAAGAGTAAAGAAACCTTGTGTATTGGTTTTACAAGTTAACAGCACAGAAGACGCCAATTATGAAACTGCGTTTTTACTAAAACAAACTATGTGGTTTTCTTTTCAAATCTTGGACAGAACCAGAATAACTGCTTCCAATTTTTGTGTTAACTTCATATTTAAAGCGTTAGTGGCATCAGTGTTTAAATTGACCTCTCAGCAAGAAAGGGAAAAAAGTATTTCTCAATGTTGGAGGATTACCTTTAAGTTACGTTTCAAGCACAACCTTTTTATATGCCTGCGTTGGTACATGTAAGAAACTACCAGCTGCTTTTTTTGCTTAGTTTAGTGAAAACGGAGACAGTGGGAAGCAAAGATCTGAAAAAGGATAGGTTGTGGTTTTACTGGGGCAAACTGCACCCAGCTAAGAAATAGTCCAGCACACGAACACCGCTGTAAAACCACAACGTTAAAAGAAATTCAATAAAATATAGCCTGTTAATAATTGAGCGGTTGTTCGGTGGGTTTTGTTGTCTTTGGACACGGCCAGTTAAACTCACCCACCGATGTTCATGTTGCGCTACCCTTTCATTTCCAAATTAATCTTTTAAGTACAAATTGTACTTTAGTTAGCTGAAAATATCTCACTGATGTTTTATAGAAGGACCAACAGCATGAGACAACAGCTGTATTGTTCTCGCTGGAGTTCTGTCAAAGTTAAAAAGATTATCTGTTTAATCTGGGAAACAAGTGACTGAAAGGAGGAGAAATCAGGTCCACTTCAGGTTAACAGGCTAAATAAAACTGTGTGGGGACGAACCAAACAGTCTCATCAAAATAAAAAGCTTCCCAATTTGGGTTAATGTAACGAGTTCTGCTAAGGATGAGAAAAAAGGTGAAATGCTGTAATAACAATTAGGGGAAAAAGTATAAATGGTTGATTCGGTTTATTTTACTTCAGATCATGTTACTCATACAAAATAATCCGTACAAAAGGCTGAAATAGGTCTTTTTTTTGTTGCATAGAAGGAAAAGGGATGTAAAACAGAAAGCCAGGATGGAATAAACTCCACTATCTCACACGGGCCTAAAAACAATTAGTTTAAAAAAGGGAAAGCGCTCCGCGCAGAAATACTCCAAGCTGTAGAAACTGGAGACAAATTGGCGAGGGCTCTCCCACTTTCATCATCTCCCTTTTGTTCTTTACAAAGAAGAAGGAAACTGCTCCACTCGCAGACCACCATTAGCCCGTCTCGGTGTCGTTAGGACAACAGTCCCTCCGGTTTTGTCATCCCTTTAAAGAAAAAGGAGGCCGCTTTAATGCCCGATGACAGTGTGTGTCATTAAACGCACCGCGGGATCTGCTGTGCTCTTCAAGCCAACTCCCGTCTTCCAACCTCCCCACGGTTTAAATGCTGCCTGAATATTTGACGGTGACATAAAAAGGGAATACATCGGGAGCGCAGTCATTAAACATGAAAGACAATGAGCGCACGGCGTCGTGGGATTTTGTGACACTCTTTCCTTTATTTAAAAAATAGTTGATTTAGAGAATAAAAGAGCAGGTAGTGCACCACCTGGTATAGATATTCATAGTGGCTCCACATGAAAACTCCACAGGACGAGGCTTGTATCAGGTATCAGTGCCCCACAGAAAGAACACAACATCAAAACACACCTGGTTCCAGAGCACACATTTCCACTGCTCACCGCCAGCTGTGGCACAGGAGAGGGATTAAGAAGAGATTACAGAAACTATAAATCCAAGGTGGCAAAAAAAAATAAAAATAAAATAGCTTCTAGGTCTCAAAATTCTTCACAGCAAAGAAAACCCAATTACTGCGTGTGCATTCTTCCTTTACCAGCGTCGTGGTTCATTGGATGAGAGGGAATTCTTTATACTCCCTCAAATGCAAGAAAGATCATACAGAAAAGTGTGTGTCTTATAAAAAGGTACAATAAAATGTGAAAACCATACTTACACTAAGAATAAACACAAATTTACGCCCAAATTTGACACTTGCTCCTGCACTCCACATAAGCAGAACAACTATCGGACATGAGAGGATGAGTAACGTGTGTCTGTTATTGGGCACAAAAGATCATGGGTTGTTAGGCAATTAAACCGTCAATGTGACTACGAGAGGTCCATTATACCATTGAGATAGTTCAGCTGTAAAATGAGCATTTTTACTTGGGGGGGGGGGGGGGGGGCGCGACGTACTGTGTCGTCTAATACATTGTGCTCTAGAAATTCATAATGGCTCCTACAATGGCAGTTTTAAGAAGACATACTGCAGATTTTGCAAGCACGTCCTAATTTCATTTAACGCAGAGGAGCAGAAAGACAAGCGTGCAGATTGCTTTTGTGGGCTTCAGCCGATTCCCTTTCTATCAATTATGACTTAACCGCTTTATCTGCCCGGAGCCGTGCTGAGACAGGACGGCGTTTTTGCAACTTATTGAGGACCGTCGCAAAGACTAATCCTTTGAGAAACAAATGCTTGATGGTTTCATGTTCTCACAATGAGCCGCTGTCATGAATGGAAAACAAAACTGCCTACAACAAGAAAAAACAACAACAGTATATTGTAGAAAAACAAACATAGAAACAGTGACAACCAATGTACAAAAAACCCCTCATTAATGTGCTTTCGTTCTGCAAACCCGAAGGAACATTTTGGTTTTGACAAACCCGTGAAATCGGAGTGACAGTGGCGGAGCTGAAGGGGGGAGCTCACGTGGAAGAGAAGATGTCTGAATGTCAGAGCAGTCAGCAGCAAAGAGTTTGCTGAGGCGTGACGTCATTAAATCGACTCCATTCTCCTATTTTCTGTCATCTTGTATTCTCCCCCACCCCCCACGAACTCGCCTGCGCTTAAGAGCATTCCAGTTAACCAACTCCAAACGGTCGTATACGAGCGCGGCTGCCTTTCCGCAGTCGGTGCCGCCGCAACACTGCAAATGTTGCGGCGGGCGTCTGGAGAGCGAGGCGGTAAATAAGAGATGCGCGGAGGGGCTGGTGGAGGCAGCCGAGCGGAGGAGATGTGACCGCTCGTCCTGGCGCTTCACATCAGCAGCTGTCATGTCGCCCCCCCCCACCCCCCCGTGGACACAACAAGGAGAGTCGGCGCATACGGGGACACTCGATGAATCACGGCATGAACCGGGGATGCACAGTGTCCGAGCTCCAAAGCAACACACCTTTCTGCCAAGAGTTACATTGGCTGCGAATTAGAAGACACACTTACTCGTTTTCTTTCCAACAGCAGGGTCATCTGTCCTCTACAGGTCATTCTAATTTGGTAGCTTTGGAGATCATCCTCATCAAAAAAAAAAATGCGGCTTCTTAAAAGAAGTTGGATGGGGGAAGAAACAGGCATTGCAGCCCGTATCTCGGACTTCTTTTGAGCAATTTAAAAAGGTCTTTTTCGGTTGTTGGGAGGTACAAATGAGCCATGGAAAAGTCTTCCTGTGCCCAGAGTGAGAGAAACTGTGAGACACCAACGCAGTGCTTTAAAAAAAAAAAATGATTCCCACAATTGCAGTATCCGTGAGTGAGGAATTCATGTTCCACACAATGCCCTCCAATTTCCCCACAGTAGATGGATCTAATCAGCCGCGGTAATGGAAAACACCTGTTTGCCTGCGCGGCGCTTTTGTATCAGCGTATGACGAGCGGGGGGAAGGCGGCTGCTCGCGGGCGCGTTTTTGCGCGGGGAAAAGACATCGTGACATCGGAGGGCCATTTGGAGGCTAACGTGAACACCGTTTTCAGGGTCACTATCAAAATGCTAAAGCAACACGGAAGGAGGCCTTCCTCACAGGAGACGTTTTGACTTTTCAAAAGCAGGAAAAAGAACAATGCCACCCAATGTCTCTGTTCTTGTCAAGTGGTCCAGTGAGGAAGCACAAGCAGTTCCAGGAACCTGAAATAAAAGCAGCCAGATGAAATCCAACCGTGGTTAATTAGGCCGCAGAAGCACAGTCCAAATGTCTTCTTTGAAAAGGGCGTTTATTCCGTCTCATTGTCAAATTATAGAAACGGGAGCATACAAATGATCGAATAGAATTTTAGGCCAACGGTTAGCGAAAATTATTTTGAGAGGAAATAAAGGTGAACAGGAAATTAGTGAGTTAAACTAACTGTTGTAAATATTCAACATGATTTTACTGAATTTACTTCCTGTTTTAAGCGTTTTACTGTTTCTGGCCTCATTGTTGAAATTACGGCTCCAACTGGACTAATTCTTTTAAGAATAAGCTGGACTTTTACACCACCGCTACTAACACCGTCACAGATATTTTGAAGCTCAGAGGAGAAGCATTGGAGGGCTTTTTTCTTTAAGTCGCCATACCAGATAGATAAAGTATTCTCAGCGTACACTCTTTTAGCGAATCAGCACTAAATAGACAAACAATCCTGTCCTGTAAGGTTTGCTGCCGTACCTATCGGTCTCAGCTTTGATCCTCCTCCTCCGCCGCGGCTGCAAGAAAGGGAAGCTTACCCGAAATCTTTGAAGTCGCAAACCAGACTAACTGTGTGATGAGTTGGAATGTCAGCTATTGTGGGTACAAACGAAGCATAAAGCCCATATTTCCTTCTGTGGAAAGGGACAGAGAGAATTTGTGCCACCTGCGCTGAAAAGAATGTAGCCGAGACACAACATGGCCGCTCTGCTTTTTACCCCTCGTGCCCTCGTTTTGCACCATGTTGTTGTTTCCTCTGCAGCTTGGACGACATGGTAAAACCCATCAACACACAAACACTGGAACTGAATCACCCATCTCTCTTCACTTGACCGTCCCGGTGGAGTGTGTGTGTGCGCGCGTGTTCACCAGTAGACTTTTGCATGACCATTTATTGTTCGGAGAAGAATATTTTTGTTTAAAAAATGTTCACTGATTATTTCTCACACCTACATGACGTTCCTCTATGAAGCTCGATTTACCAAAATATATAATCGGCATAAAAATAATAATTATGTATTACACTAAATATCATCCCCACGTGTCTGTGTCCCTCAACAGCTGCATAACGGCAAATCCATCATTGCACCGATCAGTTCAACACTTTGCAGTACTGACGACATACAAAAAAGGAAAAATGAAGACGTTCGACATTTCAACAACAAAGATAAACCAGTAAAGTAGAAAACTTCCATTCAATGTTGAAACTTTTCTCATTTACAAGTGACAAGGGGCCTTGACTTTAATACACATGACGAAAAAAGAAGCTCCACAAATGTTGGAGGGTAATTATCAGCTGTCTATGTTCTCTTTGCCCTCGGAGAAGGTGTGCGGCCATTAGTAAAGTCTTCATTGTCTCAAAGTCTGTCCTTCCTTCCAGCAAAATTGTTAGTCCAAGCAAGAAAAAATAAGGGAGTGAAAACCCGAACGGGATTCACTTCCTTGCCAAAAGTAGCTGTCCCTTCTCTTCCAGTTGTGTTACTCTTTGGCAAAATGAATGTTGTGAGAGGAGATAGCAGAATGGAGCGGAGACAGCTGGAATCTGTACAGAAGGTTTGGGATAAGTGGGTGGTGGTGGGGGTGGGGGCGCATAGAAGGTTGTAAAGTCTTATCCCATCGGGCAGCGGGGCTCCTCTCCATTGGAAGCCTCCCTCCGAGTCTAAGCATCGTACTTCTTCCCTGTTCTGTGGATGTGGTGGAACAGCGTCATGGAGAACGCCATGCCCAGCAGCTGTGGAGAAGAGCGGAGAAGGACATGGTCAACGTGTGTGTGCGTGTGTGTGTGCACATACATTTTGGGTGTGCATGCATGTGGTCTTTTTGATGTTGACGCCTGAGGCTGCAATACGTTTGGATGCAGTTTAAATCCCGCGGTGACGCACGAGCACATTTTTTCGTCCGTTTCTCAGACGGTCTGAAAAAGAGCGAGTTCTGGAATCTTTGTGATGGGGAAAAAAAAAATGTAAAAGCGTGCAACAGCATTAAGTCAATAAAGCAAATTGAGATGCCACTGAATCAAAGTGTCCGGCTATCTCTTTGAAGTTTCCATTACCCCTGATACTTCCACATCAAACGCAGTCAAAGGGCTGATCCTAAAACCATTATCTGGCAAAGATGGGATGGCAGGAAAACGGCAAAGTATTGTATGGTGCATAGTCTTTAGTGAAAAGGCATTGTGACTTCCTGAAAACCGCCTCCATGGGGGATTCCTACGGGATGTGATTAACCTGGGAAAGCCTCCGATTGTCTTTGGTTAGTTTAAGTCGAAAGCCTTATCCGTCGGGCTGCTTCAGAGAAAAAAAAAAAGCCCTGCCAATCAAAACGCCGAGTGCCGTTTGAGGTAAACATCCAGCAAAGGATGCGTTCAAACCGCTGAAAAAAACAAACCCGGTGATTTACATGTGCCTCATCTGCACAACTCCGTCACTCAGTGTGTTTATTCAGTCTGCGCGAGTCAGTCGCTCCAACGGGCCCTTCAAAGATCCATCATCCTCCCCTGCTTAAGAAAATATAAATGCGGCAGGAATTTCTGAAACCGTTGTGGATGGAGTTATACATGAAGGCTTTGGCCGAGGGCTGACACACTGTATGTGCTGCAGGCCTGAATCATTCATAAGCCAACTTCCCCCCCTGTGCCTCCGGCAGTCATGTGAAATGACACAATTGCAGGGCATCATCTTTTCATGACGCTAACCTCCATCATATCCCCCAACTTTTGAGTCTTGGAACATGACAGCTTAAGGTCTGTTAATCGACTCGCATACTTCGCAGCGCGTGGAGAGTGTGTGTGTGTGTGTGTTTACAGGAGGAGAGCGAGATCGTCAAAACGATGTCAGCCAATTAGTCTCCACAACGCGCCGATATTTGTCAGAAGAAGAAAAAAAGGGAATAAACTTTTAGTTATTATAGAGTGATATTCATTCAGTTTGCAAGTTTTATTTTGTGGTCCTATTCTTTTTATTTATTAAATGTTGGAATTAAATAAATACTGTACTATAATAATGTTTGTTTTCGTTGACGATCAAATGGTGTCACTTTAATATATTAAGGTTCAGCGATTTATCTGCTAAAGGAGCAAAGAAACGAAGCATTGAAGAGTCTTTCTTAAGCATTTAGATGATTGAACAGCTCTTATCATAACGGGGCGCTGAGACGCCTCCAGGTCATTTCACTCACTTAAAAACAGTCTTGAGAAAAAATAACTTTCTGACCGCAGCCTGTGTGTACGTGTTTGCAGAAGGTCGGTGAGTTTGGAAGGATGCGGGAAGCGTGTGATCTTGTCATGAATACATAGTGATACATAGTGATCTTGTATCGACAAATGTAAACAGTAATGCTGAACAGTGGGTGGCGTGAACTTTAACACAGGCCTTAAGCACGATCTTTTCCCAAGGACATTTGAAATGAAGAAGCATCTTATAAAACTCAACGCAGCGATTTCACAGCGAGGCCACCTGGCTCTGAATGAAAAATGGTTCATGAATAAGCAAACCGGAGAGTGAGGGCACGGGGAGGGGGCAGCCAAAAAGATGAAAATGGAAAAGGCAGAGAGCAGGGGATATTTTTCATTACGTAAACCAGAGTGAAACAATTTAAAAACAGTCAACATGATATTTACAGGTAAAACCTCAATTTAAGCAGACTTTATTAAAAAAAGTCAAATGATGCATGCGACATACAACTGCAAACATCACTCAAGGGGACAACATATCTAAATTTGTGCTGAAGGTAACTAAGAACGGGTGAAACACCATCCTCCCGGGACAGATGATAACTCTGAAGGTATGTTCAAAGTAAGTTAAAGCAGCAGTTAAATGTATGCAGAGATGAGGGAAAAGTAAAGTTTGCAGACACTTGTAGGACACAACCTCCAACTACGTGGGAACAGTACTGCAGTGGCAGTGACAGTCATCGTACAAAGAGGGATGGATGTAAAGCAGATCTTTTATAGGAGGAATATCTACCCCCCCCGCCCCTCCCTTCCTATTCAGTGTCTCAGCTGAGAGCTCCTTATACCTGACTACATCCCTTTAGGCTGTACGCCTAGTGGCTTTGATTTTCCCAGACAGGATCAGGGTGCAGAAGACGGCTGCTTCAATATTTCAAGATGAGTGGGTGTCCGCAACGCCCACTGAGAAGAATCCTTATGACTCTCTCAGGAGAAGATGGAGGTAAAGAGGCCACGGAAGGCACACAGACAGGTAGACACAAACAAATGCACCTACACAGAAAACATTAATAAGAGAAACAGGGAGAGAAGCACGAAGAAATGAAGAGTGGAAGAGCAATTTATCACTAAGCCTCTTACCTGCACTACCAAGATGACCATGCCTATGGTTCCCAGCAGGTGCTTGTTGTCATCCAGCCACTCCTCCACTTTCTCAAAGCAGCCCTGAGATGAAGCACAAGCTTGTGAAGACACCAACAAGAGAAAAGTGCATTTCCCATGCGGCAGGAGAATCACGTCCATTTCACTTGCCGCCTGTTTTGGGTCATCCCAACCACCCTGTTCACGCTTTCCCACTCGAATGCATCCCTTGCATATGGGATATCCCCTCGGTTGAATACACTACCAGGTGGGGTGTTAAAACGGGGGAATGGCCCATGAGTGGTGACTTTTATATGCAGACTTATGGGCCACATATATTGTTAAATGTATTACCACCTTGGTTCATTCAAGGGTCACTCACTGGCAGGGAGGTGGGGGTGGGGGGGAAGCTGCGAGGCGGAGCCCCTTCTTAAGGGTGGGTGCTGATGCAGCATGTAAAAGTAACTGTGCGGCCGTCTCCTCTGGGCAGGATTACACACACAAGCTTTAAAAACTGTGCTTTCCCAATGGGCCAGCTCAATGTCTGCCTATTCCCGTACTGGCAATTCGATTAGAGCTCATTTCAGGTTTTTAATCCACCTCTTTGGACTCGCTAAATAAGCACATGCCAGACCAAATGTGGCTGATTAGAGTCATAGTGGAGGGAGATTGGTGCTGTGTTTTAATGCATAATGGAAACAAATACATTGCGATCAGCTGTAAGACAAAAACTTTTAAACTACTGTGCAGATGGACCGAAGGAGATGTGTGGCTGTGATGTCCCTTGTGAATGTACACACAGAATACAGCCAGCAAAATATCTCTTTTTGGTCGTTTTGCATCTCTCTCTGTACGTTTTGTGTCTCTTTACATTTGGTTTATGTAAGTTAAGCCTGGATGTGTAGATCATACAACAAATGAATAAACCAAAAACCCATTACAGCAGATGAACTCACCCTGTTCCAGAACATATTTGTTGAGTTTTTCCCGCAGTCCTGGTAATGCTCCTGGCAGCAGCGGTCTGGTACCATCTTCTCCTGCAGGGCCTCGTGCCAGTCGCTGTACGCGATCACACCGCAGCACTTCCACTGTGAAGGCCAAGCACACGTCGCACAAAAGATGAATTTACGCTTCCCGACCTCGGAGGCCCCAAACTAACGTTAACGTGACCAGGATTATGATGATGATGATTGGTCCCTGCAATAATGAAGCGCAGCAGACTTTGACTTTGAAGTTGCATAAAGCCACTGCGAAGCCAGGAACTACATTAGCTGGAATATTTTAGTGTACCGTATGCATTTGTTTCATGCAGATTCTTTCGAACACTTGACGTAATGCATGGCGTGAGACGTGTCTACCTCGGCCTGGATGATGTTCCAGGCATTTCGTAAGCCTATGTTGTTGTCGGAGTTGTAGAGAGCCAGCCCGTCCTTCAGATCCTGCTTGGCGTTCTCGCTCACCTGAAGACGAAAAAGACAAACACCCGCCGGTATTAGAGACCTTGCATCAAAGGGGTCCTTTGAAGAATCGTTAATTGAGTTGAAATATCCATCATATGCTTCGTATCGGAGCAGGCAGTTGAAGCTTAAATGTTAGTGCGGATGCATTCATTGTCTACATCTTTTTTTATTTCCCTTTTCACAGATTGAATAGAATTCTTCAGGATGTCCTTCTTGTGAATAAAACTGATAGCGGCTTAGTTAGGAGGTAGTTTTTCTTTCTTTTTACCTTTTAAAAGTGACCCCACTACAGCGGATCTGACACACGTCATGCGCCGCTAGCACATCATTTTCCTCCTGACTGAACCCCAATAATATGCTCAGGGTTGTGGCATGTCTGACGGCGATTAATATCTCATTGAAGGTGTTAATGAGATACAAAATCAGAGCTTCAGCTTGCCTGCAGTTTGCACTGCCCGTGGGGGTTTTGCTAACTGCAAGGACAGATTGAGAGGCGCTTCAGACAGACGTGGGATAATTATTACTGTAGTACCAAGCACACATCTATAAAGTACTAGTTATTTTACAACAAAAGGAGTGCACCTGCATTAATAGTTAAAGCTTAACACCTCACCTTATACGCCCCAAAATAAGTGAAGCCAAATGATGGCTGTCACCGCCTGACACAACAAGCTGCTTTCTGCTTTTTTTTTTAAATTTCTGCAACCTCGTGGATAATGAGGGATCCTGATTTTCTAAAAGAAATACAATCTAAAAACAGAATTGCCCTTAAACACCTGGTTTGTGAGCTCAATGGCACAGGAAAAGTACCAAGTAGTTTCCTAGGCAATAATATGCTTTGGTTATTGCAAATCATGCAAAGCCCATTCGAAACATCCTTTAAGACCGTTGAATTGAAGATTTGTATCATTTGAAATGGCGCTCCTCCTTCTTGTTCGGTGACTTTTCTGATGCAGAGCAGCACATCCGTGCGGTGCACCTCGGGCTGCAGGCCCTCGCCAATATTTCCTTGTGCGGGAATATGAGACTGAGAGCAGCATCATCAATCTCTGCCACTGTTTCTATGCTTTATCTTTTCCTCTCCATCCAGGCTGTGATGCTGCATGCTCATTACCGACTCCCCGCGCTAACACTAGTCACTAGAGAGCATAGAGGGTCGGGGAGGAGGCGCTACAATAACAACAATAAAAAAAAAATCATCTTCCGAGTCGCCGATCAGTCTCTGCGTTTCTTCTGTTTAATGTGCGAAAGTCTTTGTTACAGCCTGAAAATGTAACTCGATGATCCACATTTACTGCTAATGAGAAGCAGAACCGGGATCCCGGCAACGAACATGGATTTGATCATGCAACTCTCCCTGTGAAAAGGAGCAGATTCATACACATTCTGTGTTGTCTTATTTTTCCAGATGGGGGAAAAATCCACTTGACTGAAACCTCATGTTGTTGTTCACAAATAACAGACTTCGACAAAGTATGGGGGTTGCACTAACTCCAGGTTACTTTTCTGTGCATCATCTCAGATGTGTTCCACTCACAACTCCCTGAGACAATGATCATACTTCTGTTTACACAGATCATCTTGTGTTCTCCTCCGGGCTGCTCGGGTTAAACAAGGTGGTGCATTCATCACGTACTGTACATCTAAAAGGCCTCAGCAGGGCGAACACGGTCACAGAAAGGTGGAAACACATGGATTCGTGCATATATTACAGGTGGACGCAATGATTGAAGGAATGGGCTGCCGCTTCTAATTGGTGTGTTTCCTGCACAAAAGCCGAGAACAGCGAGTGGGTGGTGGAATGTCTGATCCGTCTGCTTGCAACGCCGTAATAATACAAGACAGCCAGTTAGTACTGAACTCACAGAGAGGTGCAGTATGGAGATACTCTTCATTGGTTTTTCAGTTCTTTTTATCCTTTAAGGAATATTTATTTTATTCATTTATAAGTAAAGAATGTTTTATTTATTAGCATTAATTTTGCCTCTGTTAACAACAGAGGCGACTGTTAACAACTGCTCTCTTGGAAAACAATTTACAGTTCTAAAGAATCATCCTATATATTAGTTTACAGTGGTGTAATAGGCGTATAAAAGATCAATTAGTGTATTGCGTGAGTTTAATATACCTTTTACAAATGACTATTCATCTCTTTGAGGGATTACAATCTTCAAACAATGTTTGATTCCCCCGTTTCAAGGCTTTACTTTATTATATGCTCTGTAATTACCCTCCTAGAATATCAGAGCAGATTAACACAATACGCTGACAGAAAAGCCGGTACATTCCCTGGATGGTTCACGTGAAATCATATGGTATTAAAGGTTATGGCTTATATGTACCGTAACGTTTAGGTCATGGTATTTTGGGTTACACTCGAGGTGAGTTTTGAGGTCCATAAGTTAAAGATGGTCGACGAGGTGAAAACCTTAAACAGCTGCGCAACTAAGTGTCACTTATCTGACTTTTTCCTCAAGTAAAAGAAAGCAGGTGTCTCCAGCTAGCTGTTCAACAGTATGGAACGAGTCTTAGCGAATAACCAAACACTAAAGTGACATTCACAGCACATCTTTGAAGTCACGTGAACCAAAACATCTTACTATTTTACATCCAATTGAACTCTGCTCCAAAAAGGACTTGTGTTGTATATTGTGTGGTCACACTGGCTGTAATTGTCACGTTCTTTGACTCTCTGAGGGCCCCTGAGGAACCGAAGCTAATAGTATTTCGCTGTTGTTCTCATGGCTCAAATCTGGAGAAGTGTGTCAGCTAACTGCCCGGAATGCGTAATAAATGATGCGGAGAGGAGCAGCATCACAGCAAGAGGTCTCCAACAGTACATCATTAAAAAGCATACTTAGTTCCCCAAGTTGCTCAGCAGGCCTGTGCCGGGTAGCCTGAGGTTGTGGCACGCAACCGAGCGAAGGGAAGGCCCCCCGCCACTTCTCTGTAATTGGTCTGGAAACGGAATAAAGCGTGGCCGAGGATTGGACATAATTCTGCATGTAAACCAATGCAACACATGACTAGATGCTAGTTAAATTATTCCCTCCCCTGCATTTCACCTTCTCCCTACACCCACATGAACATACTCTTTAGGCTTCCCCTCCTCCGCTCGCCAGGTTCTGTTTTCGCACTCTGAGCTGGTTAGGCGAGGCGAGGCTTGTTGGATTGACAGAGGCACAATGAGGTCACGTCGTCAAAGACGCGTGTGAAAAGTCTGTAATCTGGTTTGTGGCCGAGCCGTCAGCTGGTTGCGGGCCCAGCTTCATTACGCTGCGGCCTTTGGATGGCTTCATGCCGTTGGGCTGTGGAGGGAAAGAGCGGTACCTGCACATGAGCCACACCTCGAGACCATACTGCTGGGTTTGGGACATTTAACAAGAACTAAACTGGTGGAAATGCAGAAATATTTCTGCATTTAAATTTCTCCAGCAAAACCAGATACTATATGTTCGCTTCTTCCTTACACAGCCACCAGAGCTTGTGTGGAAACATCACATTTTGTAGACGCATCGATCATGACTTAAAGATGACCTATTCGAACAACTGAAATATCTGTTTGCAGGCCTCCGCCGATACACATTGAAAAGATGCCAACTATGTACGTCTTCCAGACTTGTTAATAAATGCCTTGTGATTAGAAGATCAAATAGGAACAGTGAATTAGTGATTCCTCTGATCACAGCCTGTAGGAGAGGATGAGGAGAGGATAACGCAGCATACTAAATCTCACCGGGGAGAGGCAAGTACAGAGAAGAGAAGAAAAAAAACACAGCGATTGCTCTTCATCCAATCGGGACGTTCTCAACGTCAGCGCTGTCCTCCTGTTTGCGAGAAGTTTGAAAACGGCATCTCGGATGACATCATTTGCTGTGATGACATTGCTTTCCGTGGACATGTGAACACCAATTAGCGTAATGTGCTGGTTAGCGATTAGCATTATCTTTATTTCACCCCCCCCCCGAATAAGTTTGCTATTCATCATTGTTGCGTTGAATCCGGCGGATCTCCCGGGGTGATGCCCTATCCAACACTAATGCAGACTCATTAAACCTCACGTTTGAGAAATCCTCAGCCCTGCTTGGCTGTCGCTTCCAGACTTCACAGGTGATGGGAATGCACCGCTGCAAAGTCAAGAATCTCTATTTAAATTCTAGGGATCAGAGTTTGGATTTTTTTTCCTCCTCCAAAAGTTAAGCCAGCAATATTTTTGAGATAAGGCAACAGGCATATTTACTCCGGACTGTGTGTGCCTCCGAGTCCTGATACAAATCTGAGAATGGATTGGCTGTTAAATTAATTCCTTTATCTGCCTCAGAGCAAAAAGTTTGAGCAATAACCTCAGAACAAAGAGTAAGAATTTGGCAGCTGGAGGGCTTTGAGCATATATATATAGACAGATCTATCAACGATGAGTCCTTGAAAACAGAAAAGAGAGAGAAGTCTTCATCGCCGTGCATCCGCAAGACACTTGTCATGTTCCGGATTAAAACATTTGTGGGGCCATTTGATTAACCTGAGGAGAACCTTATGTCAGTTCATGGATGTCAGTGATCTCCAGAGCTTTACATAGAGTCATCTGTTGCCACCACAGAGGCCGTCACCTGCCTTGAGCCCATGCGGGGGTCATGGGAATATGCGCCTGAGGCCATTTACAGGGAGCCAACTGGTTGGCATTGGGATGCTTTTTGCAGCTTAACCTTTGACTGCTGGATCAATGGCTGCATGGAAATAAGTCAACTTCCTGTCTGAGAAATGTAACCCAAGAAAGCTCAGATAGTCCAGCGGCAACTGGACGTAGACATGTTCATACCAATAGCCCTTGCAGTTGCTTGGGCAATATTTTGTATGCGAAGACTAAGCTGTAATGTGTGCATAACAACCGCCACAGCGCATGTACACGGTGTAGACTACTTAAGGAAGAATGGTGCAGAGTTTACTGGAACAATGACGGCCATAATTTGAAAAAACGATGCTGACTTACCTTATCTGAGTACACAAAGAACAGGATGAGCAATATCAGCTCTGCCAGGAGAATTATCAGCAGGACAATGAAGAACTGTCAGAGAGAGAGAGAGCCTTGTTTTAACAATTGCTTTGGCAGTATTGTTATTCCACCTTGTCATGTCACGGAAAATTATGTTCAAAATGAAGAGGCCACATTGCAGTAATTTGTGTCAATGAGTGCCACAGGAAAACACATTCCAAGAATATAAATGACGCACTGGTTCACAACATTCATTTTTCAACTTTGATTTGCAGTGCTTTTGATTCATAGTCTACCTTAGAGGGCATTGTGTGGGTTTTAGATTCCTTCCGTAGCTTTACATAGAAACATGCAGTCAATTCAGGTTAAATCAATTGTTTACATTATGTGAAATAAGCTTATTCGTTCGCTTATTTAGAGAGTTATGCTGGAAGACATTTCTACGCTAAATAAATATAAAACTCCAGTCAACATCGGTTAGCTTAGCTTAGCATTAAGACTAAGAACACAGGAAAACAGCCTGCCTGACTGTGCAAACACGGTATTTGTAAAAAGAGCATCCAGTTCTCTGCTGGTTGCCTGGCAGCCTTTCTAACCGTGACAACAGGACTGCATGACATACTTTGTGCAGCCAAGAAGTAGTCAGACACTCAAACAAATAAGAAACGACATGTTAATCAGTGAGCTTTAGAGGCGCCGATATACTCATTTTGTTATGTTTGCACAAAGCTTCCATTTCCTGCGTTTGTGCTAAACTAAACTAGATAACTGCATACTTAGCATGCAGAAAGAAGAGTGGGATCAAACCTCTACATTGCCCTCGGCCATTAATAAAATAAGTGTATTTTGACATATGTTACCTCCCTAGATTAACAGAGCCTTCCATCTCATCCCACCGTTCTCCTCTTCAGCTCAATATTTACCCAGTTATTTTGCACAACATGGGAGGAGGCAGGCAGACCTAGATTCTAGAAAACCCCACTTATGCTATGCTCATTTGGGAGGACGGGGGTAAGCTAATATTTGTGCCAAGGCCCAGATGAAATGGTACTGATTGGCTGTCGGTTAACTATCTGGGTTGACAGTGTCACTGTTGTGTTTCACAGTTGGGTTTGTCACAATTTCCTGGAGCCGGAAGTTAAAAGGACAGCTTCTGTACACCGCATTGATGGTGCTCTGATGATTGTGTGTCTATACACAGGGTTTTTAAAGACTTTCTGCCACTTATCTCTCCCAATTTACTTCCAAATTTGTCTGAGCAAACATTTTTTTAGAAAGGGAGAATGAAAATGAACTGTAAAGGATGTCTGGGATGTTGGGAATTCAGCTAATCCAGAGAGAGTTGTCTGCACAGAAACTTCAGAGGTAATATGTCAAGGTAGATGCTCAGATCTGTTTGCTGCGGCAGATCTGAGCCCACTCTGATGTCTCAGCGTCCTGCTCTCATCCCTTCCACTCCCCACCCCCCCCGGACGTGCTGATCCGGACAGTCTCGCCTGGACAAAAACAACAACTACTAGCAGAGAGAGCGGCGGAATTATCACAGGCTATATATGACACGCTACCGCACCAGGTTGACTTAATGAAAGATCAGAAGCTCTAGATTTCTGAGTCACTCTTCTTTCCCTAATTTGAAAATGTGCCCCTCTTGTCCCCCTCGCCCTCCCCCACTCCCTCTCTCTGCTTCACACTTGTTAGGCAGGTGAAGGAAGCCATGTCGAACACAGAGGATTTGGCGGGGCTTTTGACGGATGCAGGAGCTTCAGGGGATTGAGCGGTTTGTGATGTTAAGTACCCAGAGCGGAAAACGCAACTCCTCATTTAAAGTTCCAAGAGTTACAGGAAAGTTCTCTCTTTTTTTTTATATTGCGCACAAACACCATGACATTGGGTGAACTTCTGTAATTTTACGCAAGATAAAACCATGCGTAACTTTTGGCAAACAGGGCCGAGACAAGAGTCTTTGAAATGAATAATAAATCATTCTCAATTATTTAGCACAGAAATAGTGCTTTTAGTGCGCGTACAGTAATTCAACCACGCTGGGAACACCGAAGGCCTTTTGATTGACAGCTATTTTTCTGTTACGTGAACAAAGCCATGGAGATGTCATGAATGCGTTGATGCCTTAATTTCCCGAAAGGGAGAATTCAGTTCTAATTTTCCTTTGAGAGCCATATAATAACATTAAATAACCTCTTGCAGTGAGTCCGCCGTACCTCAGCTACATGACACTTAATGCAATGTGAGTAGTGGGTGGAGTTAGTCAACCGAAAAAGGAATAAATGCAGTAGTATAACTTAATACTACTTAAGTAGCGTGCTGTAAAAAATATTTTCTTCCAAGACGTCAACCGTTGCGATATTTTACAGTATTGACAAATAACAGTATATTACTGTTGAGAATTCCTCGTTATTTTACAGTAATTTGTTTTTAAGTGCTGGTTCCTGCTGGCCTGTGACGAGCATGTGTGGTCGTGGGTATTCGGGAGGTTGTCCCTACAAGAGGTCTCCGCTAATATTTGCATGGCTGACATGGGGGGGAAATGGGGGACAAGACGAGGGAGAGCGGAGCTGCAGTGTGTGAATCCTTAGACAGTCGTCTCCTTTCTAATAGGGCACTGCGTAGGTTCTGCATGCGGATTGAACTCACGCTCAGAAGCAGGCACTTGTTCTCCTTGATGGCCCCGAGGCAACCGAGGAAGCCCGTTACCATGACGATAGCGCCGATGGCGATGACCATGTTGGCGGCCGACAGCGAGGGGAACGAGGGCGAGAAGGTGGCGAAACTGCCCTGCGACACAGAAAGCCAGATGCCCACGCCGAGCAGCCCGCAGCCGCATAACTGCAAGGAAAGAGAGCACAAGGTCAGCAAACCAACAGCAGGTGAGTCGGGGTTAGTTACAGCAATTATTTACAAAGAAAAGTTCATTTTCACTTCTCCTCTGGCAGGATTTGCTTATGACATAAAGACAGGCAGGTATTCATTCTGAACACTACTCCAATGTTTGAGCTTCTAGGGCTAACATTTCTCTAACAGCACCATTGCAAAAGGCTGAATTGCTCACACAGTCATCACCAAACGCTGCTGAAAAAAACACAAGAGGTTTTACACCAATTAAAATGGTGATAAGCCAATAACAGCTCTGCAAGAGATTAGAGCAAAAATTGGACTTGGGCCACGCTTATTTTGTATATTTGAGCCGATTATGTTAAATCCAGAACAAACAGATGTAATTACTGCCACCCTCTGAAATGGAAAAAGTTCCAAGCCTTCCAAAACCACCCGCAGTAAACTTGAACTTCACCTAGAGGGAGCAATTCACTAATTCCCCTCAGTCACACCGCCAGGCGGCCGCTGATGTGTGTGAGGTCTGCATTGCAGTTCATTAATGCAAAGAGGTGTTTATGGAAGGCTTTGATTGCAGAAGTGTCCCATCTGCTGATGTGTTAGTCTATCTATCAGCGGTAAGAGCCGTACAGCACGCAACCCACTCCGTGAAATATTGCCCGGGAGGTAAGTGGTGACATCTTTGCAAGCACCTAATGGAATGAAATATCCAAGGCAATCTTTCCATGATTAAAAAAAAAAAATCCAAATGAGGTGAAATATGGGACGGCACAATGGTAAATCATCGCACCAAAGCCTTTTCCAGCCCTCTATTCACACCGCTCCCCCCTCCTCTCCTCTATCTGCACCGCTGCTCCACAGCACTTTAATGCCTGTCAGCAAAATGTGCAACAAACCTCCTGCGCTTGCAAACAAGTACACACACACACACAGTCACTATCCAGTAAGAATTATGAATAAATCCCTGCCTCTTTTTCCTCTTTAAAAAAAAAAAAGTTGAATTGATCAATGGAATCACTGATAACAAACCTTAAAATGTGCTGCAGCAATACCACAACAGAAACAAGCAGCCTCAGTGATCGCCTGGGTCGCACAGCGGTTAAAAATAAAGACTTAAAGCACAAGAAACTCTTGAGGGTTTAAATGAGCTGGCGAGAGACGCCGCAGGTCAAATGAGTCCTATTTATCTGCAGGTGAATACACTTCCAGCCCCCTCCCAGGTGTCATTGAGCAGTGAGGTTTGACTCGGTGCATGTCGTCTCTTTCGTTGGCTATGGCAGTGCACGTGTGCTTTCCTGAGGACCGAGGACTCACTGGAAGCAAATTAAAAGCCGGGATACAGAGAGGATCGGGACATGAGACGGGATTGACGAAAGCCCAGTTTCAGAGGGTGCAATCTCTGAAGGTGCTGCCATCAAGGTTGAAGACAAGGGAGTTTGCGAACTCCGTCCACCCAGCAGACTCTGAGAGGGACACGTAGCAATGAAGTCACGTTGGATTTCTCACCCAAAAAGAACCAGTAGTCTGAGTGGTGCTGGTAGGATTTTCAATAACATATCTCATAAATACTTGAGAGGAAACAGTATTTCTTGGTAGGCACTCGCTGGCCCTTGATTAAAAAAGGCGGAATGAGGGCGTCAATTAAAAAGGCTCATAAAGGTCACGTCTCTATGCGGAGCAGCTAAAATCCACAGAGGGGGGATAGATCACGCAGAGCGTGAAGAAGTGTTGGAGGACGCAGGGGAGGAGTTTTTAAGAGGACAGGGAGATGGACTGGACTGAAAGCGCCGAAGGGGAACAGAAGGAGCTTATGCAGTCCAAGTGGGGAGGGTTTCAATGTCTCCCCTTAATTGTATTTAATGGCCAGCGAAGGGAGCTCGTCCAACTCTGTCGCTTTCTCTTAAAGTGACTGTGAAACCAGCCATGGCACAATCTGTTCTGAGGGTAACAGGAGTAATCTCTGCCCGGCTTACTCTACTGCTACTGCAAAACATGCAGACCTTTGTGTCGCTGCTACAGGAAAAACCTCCAGAGTAAGCGGTGATTCCTTGGTTATCTGACCTTGGCGCGCGCGCCTGAGCTTCACCTCGAGGATCTCCGCTGAACTTCTTATCTACTTTAAATTGTGGGCCGGTCCGGTTTTGATTTCCCGTCCGAAGGGGAAGGAATCCCCCAAATAGCGGGAGGCCGGCAAACAGTCACGGCGAAGGGTTGTCATTAAGTGCCAATTGGAGTGAGCAGATGCTTAAGGGTGATGATTAACATTTGGTTTTGAAGGGACGTATTGTCTAATTATTTTCTGTGAACAAAGAAAACAAAATAAAGTGAATTCCGTGTTTGTTTTCGCTGACGGGAAAGTCAATATGGGTTATGCAACAACTTTTCACTATAATCTAAAAATGTCCTAAAGTTACCTTGCCACTGATAATATATTTTAGATAACTCGTTGGTGGGGCCCCAGCATGATGCTACACGCCAATTTAAGAAGAAATCTGCAGCTCACACAGTATTACTCTGCTTTCCCGAGTCGTGCATGCGACTCGCAGGAGCGGCTGAGGCTGACCCGTGACGGCTCGCACTACTATTTCAGTTTTAACAAGCTTCGGGTCTTTTAGCTCATTACATTGGCATATATGTATTTCTGGGTTGGTTGCACTGTTGGAGCAACTTGACTGCTTTGTGTTGGATCCATATAGTGTATTTTTCAATTTTGAGATGGAGGCTGATATGAACATATGTGTCTTTCAACTGTTATAATTAGTTTATTTGCTAAATTGAATTTATGAAAAAAAAAAAAGTAACTTGACGGGGAGGGATCCTGGGCATCTGTAAAATTGTCCTGTTCCCTTTTCATACGTGTTGGGCAACACCTGGAGAGCACCTCCATGGCCTGGCAAATTGAGTTTGGTTTCTAAATTCCATTTTTGAAAGAAGTGACAACGAAAGGAGCCGAGCAACATTTAATTTCCAGAAGAGGAAATTGGAGTACAACGAGGTGGGAATCCATCTAACTGGATGAATCGGGTCCTGCTGTTTGCGGCCTTTTAACAAGCTCCAGGGTGGGAATAAGCGCAATAATAGGGTGTGTATCAACTGTGAGGCAACGTCTCAAACAGGAAAGAAAGGCCAAGGGGGTCAAAATATAGGATGCGTGGAAGAAGGTCACGCAAGCATTAAAGCCAGACCGATTGGGTGTGTGTGGGAGGCAGAGAAGAGGGCGAGCCTTCGTCCAAATGACTGGTTCAGTTACTGCACCGACTGGTTCAGTGACACGAAGCCACTCGACGCGGGACCCCACTTCAGCGTGAGAGCGGAGGGTGAACGATGCCGACTCGTTATCACTGAGCTCTCAGAGAGGTCACAGTGGTGTCATCGAGAATGACGGCTTTCGTCAAATTACCGCCGTCCTCGGTGGCTCAACTCTCCTTGTGCGGGAGTTTGTAAGGTTTGGTTGCGTGAGTGATACGTGTGTGTTGGCGCCTCTTTAGTTCATGAAATGCTTTAAAGCTGAGAGTAAATAAACAAAAGACAGTGTCTTTTAAAACAGACAGAATTAGTCTCCACAGACATCTGTAGTGCCAAACTAAAATCTAACCTTTTTGTTTAAGTAATTAGAAATCGCTACCACAACAGCACAATAAACTGTAAAATCGGGGGGAAACGCCAACTTTACTGCTGTAGAATGGAGCCACTTTAGCACTTAACGATCCCCTATGACCTTTACTGCAACTCCATCTTTATTCTTTATCATCGGGAAACTTTTCTCTCTTGTAGCACAGAACATCTTCTGCTTTAGCATTGATTTTACACTGAAATGAAGATGAAGATTTATTTATCTCCATGTGATCTCGACAGCATGTGATTCATGTAACTATGAAATAGCCTGCCAACTCAAAGAACAACAGAATAGACAGCGAACAGAGAAAAAAAGCCTGAAAGTAAACACAGGCTATTTGTATTTTCTACACAGCGAGTGGAAACGGTCTTCTTGGCAGGCAATAAAGGAAAATGGGTCATTTTGAGAATAGACTCTCAAGGGAGGGTTTGTGTACCTGTCAGAAAAAGATTTCCTCCAAATAAATAAGTACTTATCCTCCATGGGGGTCCCATTAGAGCAAACTAAACAAAAGCCTATGTGCAAAAGGAGCAAAATATTATCTGCAACATTACCACAGACAAAGAATTTCTCTTTGACTCTTGTTCTGCTTGAAAAGTCTACAGAATCATTGTGGGTTCTGGTTCCTTTATTTTTAATGGACAATAGTTTGTTCAATACGCAAAGTCATTTCACTTCCCTTTCTTCTCATCTGTTGAATTCAAGTGAATAATGATGTAAAAATATGCACAGTGGGATGAACACGTATTTGATACACTGCAGATTTTGCAGGTTTTCCCACTTACAGCATGTAGGAGTCTAATTTCTGCAATCATTTAAAAAAAAAAAAATCATACGATGTGATTGTCTGGATTTATGTTTTAGATTCACTCACATTTGAAGAGTACTTATGATACAAATTACAGACGCCTACATTCTTGTAAGTGTATGTGAGAAAATCGGCAAAATCAAAATCAAACACTTGATACACTAAATATTCAAATACTGGGCAATTGGATGGACACAGAATTGAATGACGCTGCAGTTGGGATTTAGGTTTCTACGGACATATTATTGTTTTTTCAAAGTAAAAGCCATTCCCGCCTATCCATAAGATGTTTCACTCAAGAAACAATTAATTATTGACAATTCGGAAGTGAAGCTTCTTAAAAAAATAAAACTAACAACAGCTCATGGAGTGGATGTTCTACATTTCTCAGTGTAGCACAGTCAAATGATACCCTAACCCTTACATTATGGGGCCCATGTGTTTCCCTTTATCTCTTAAATAGAATATTTAGCTTGATGATACTAGACAAGTTAAGCTGTAGGCAAAGAACTCCACATCACAGTCTCCCTAGACTTCCTGAAGGCATCGCAGTCATTCCCCATTGAATAG